TGAACTTTTATAAACAACTGCACCTTGACAGTTGGGGGATGTTTAAACAAACAAAAATACATACCACATCTTAGTGGAAATAATATGTATCCTCATCCAGTATGGAAATATGCTGTAATATACTGTTCAAAGCGAAAGAGCAGGTGCAGAGTTGGGAATGCAGTGTGGGTACAGGTCTGCAAAGCAAGCGAACCAAAGCTTTTCCAAGGATGAAGCCTGGACGTGCAGTTCACCTCAGTGTGAACCTGGTTTTCTCCATGTGGTGGGACCTGCATGTGGAGCGCTGAGGGAGGACTGGGATTCTTTTTCTCTCCCTTCTACTTTTCCGTCTTTGCTAAATTTTCTGTAATGATCACGTAAACCGAGGTTTTAAAAAATGAAAGTGACATTGTATATAATGGGGGGGAAAGTCAAGTTGATCTCTAAGCCTGTTTCACAAAGGATTCGAAAGCCGTAAACTTCTTACAAAAAGAAAACCTCTGTGAACACAAAAACGTTGAATGTCAAAGCATTAAACAGAATCCTCTTATTTGCTGGCAGCGCTTCAAGGAATGGCAATTTGATTCTATTAACCGGTGCATTTTGTTTTTAAAAAGCCCCAAGAGAAATCATCTTAGGCAAGAATGTCCCTGGCGCCAGGCTTCAGAACTGCGGGGTGTGGGGTGGATGCCTCAGCACAGCCATGGCGCTTCTTCCATCTCTTCTGACCTTCGGGGAGTCAGAGCCTGACAGGTCTCTGTGACGTGGAGCTGTGCTCAGTGGTGTTTGCCCAAGCGGCGCCAAAGAGGGACACACCATCCAACTCAGGAGGAAGAGGGAGCTCCTGCGTGGGCTCCGGTCTGGGGGGGAGGGGGGTCCCTCTGGGAGGACGGAGCCCAGCCCAGACCGGAAGGTGGAGGAAGACCTCCTTCCCACGCACAGCACTGGGGAGACTTGAGCCTGACGTCAAAAGAAGTGAGACATACTCGACTATAGAATAACTCTCTGTGTGACCTGGGCCAAGTTAGCACTTGCTCCCCCCGAGCCCTGGTTTCCTCAACTGTAAAATGGGGGTAATAACCTTTCCGCTTCCTCGAGGTGGGATCAGGGTGTGACAATATTCTGCAGACTCTAAGTGCCCCCACAGATGTGGGGGATCGTGACAATGAGTTCTAACTGGCATCGGGTTCTCTGAGGAAGCTTCTGAGTGCGTCCATGCCTACCTTGGGCTGAACAGATAACCAGTAGCAACACCACCCATAGCTAGCATTTTGGGAGCACTAAGCACTGTCCTAAGGACTTTAAATGTATCATTTCACTTTATTTATTTATTTTTTTAATATATTTTTTTATTGATTTCAGAGAGGAAGGGAGAGGGAGGGAGATAGAAACATCATCGATGAGAATCACGGATCGGCTGCCTCCTGCACGCCCCCTAGTGGGGATTGAGCCCCCGACCCAGGCATGTGCCCTTGATCAGAATCTAACTGGGAACCTTCGGTCCGCAGGCTGACGCTCTATCCACTGAGCCAAACGGTTCACTTTAAAATGGTGTTTTATCATATAGATTTCACTTCCATTTTTAAAACACACAATTCCTTCATTAGCAACATCGCTACCTTTGAACGTACGTCTCTGAAATAGCTGCTCACTTACAGATAAGGCAGCGGAGGCTCAGAGAAGTTAACCAACCAGCCAAAGGCAGCAGTGGTGTAAGTGACAGAGTCTGGGCCAAAAGCCAAATCCGGCTCCGGAGCCAGAGGTCCACGCACTGCAGAGCCCTGGACAAGGAGGGCCCTGCTCTGAGGGACTGTGAGCAGGCAGCTCCGCCCTGGAGATGCCCCCCATCGTGACTTCCCCCTCCCCCTCTTCATGGCCCAGAGCTCCTTCCAGCTGGAGGGACCTCGAGGGCTGCGTTTCCCCAGCCCTCCACCTGCTCCCTGTGCAGGCTGCAGCCTCCCCAGGGCTGGCCACAGCCGGCGTCTCTGTGCGCAGGCTGAGCTATGAGCTATTGCAATGTCCCCCGCGGAAACAGCTGGCTCTGGTTTCATAACCTGCCTCGCAAGAGAACAGATGGAAATAAGGAGGCCTGGGCCCGGGGTGTCGGCCGCCGCTGGAGAGGCAGCTGGGAGGTGCTGCTACTCTGGGAGCTTGGGTCCCGGTGTCATAGGAAAAGGACACCCAGAGGAGAGGTCTGAGAATTGCAGGTTCACTCGCCTCCTTCGCAGGTGCTGGGAAAGTCCAAGCGAATGGACAGGAACCTCCCGGGGACCCCGAGCTGGGCACCCCAGCCCCGCCAGGTTCACTTCTGTTGCAGACGTTGCGTGCGGGTGGTGCGGGTCCTGGGTAGGCAGGAAACTGGCCGAAGCTGGGCAGTCACCCGCGTGTGACCCTGGCAGCTGCTTCTGTTTCCTGATCTTTGTTCCCCCCAAAGAGGAAGGGAGAGGGAGGGAGAGACAGAGACATCAATGATGAAAGAGAATCATGGACCAGCTGTCTCCTGCACGCCCCACACTGGGGGTTGAGCCCGCAACCTGGGCCTGTGCCCTGACCGGGAATCGAACCGTGACCTCCTGGTTCATAGGTCGATGCTAAATCCCTGAGCCACGCCGGCCGGCTCCTTATCTGTTAAATGCTTCAAACCAGAGGTCGCCAACCTTTCAGGCCTCACGAACCACCAGTGGTCCGCGGACCCCCGGTTGGCGAGCGCTACTTCAAATGACCCCCTGCCCCTGGGCGGTCCTGCAGGCTGAGGATGGCAGGAGCGGTGGGGGTCCCGGCCCCTCTTCTGCTGGGGGGCCTGCTGGAGGAGCTGTGGCCGTCCCTGCGCAGGGCGGACCACCCTCCTTAGTCTGGGTGGAGCAGTGCCCCCAGCGGCCTCTGCAGGGGGTGACCTGGCGGAGGCTGAGCCTGCAGAGCTGAGGAAGGTGAGAAATGACCGCTCCATCTTTGTGAAACCCAGACACTGTGCCCGTGGCGCACCTTCCTTTTCCGTTTGGGCCCCTTCCTTTTTTGGGGGTTTGGGGGTGCCCAGATGAGGCCCAGCTGTGAAGCAATGCAAGCTGCTGTGGGGCCTTGGGCCTTCTCTTGGAAGTTCTGGGTCTGTCTGGCCCAGCTGCAATTTGTTAGGTAGTTGTCAGATTGTAAAGGACCCGGGCATTCATATGCAAAAGCCTTTGCAGCAGCCTGGATGGGGCGGGGTCTCGGAATCAACAGGGTGGAGCAAGCAGCTATGGCTGATCCTCAGCCCTGCCCTAAGGAGCCGCGAGTCTCAGTGTCCCAGTAATTGCTACCAGCACCTCTGAGGGAAAACTGTCCTCAAGTTCCGAGTTCTGCCTGCTGCCAGACCATCCAGTTTCTCCCCGTATGAGCCCTGGGACCCCAGAGATTTCCCGGAACCGGAGTTCAGAGCAGTCGGGAGCTTGAGACTCCCTCCCGATTCAAAAAGACAGCCGCGTCCTCAGGTGCCCGCCCCTTTCCCCGCGCGCCGGAGCCTCCGTACCTCTGCACTTTACTTTCGTAGCTCCTCTGAGTCTGTGTGCTCTTCTCTTTCCTTCTAGTTGTAGAATTTCCACTCAGCCAGCCTTCCTGTGGTTCTGGATGATGACCGTTCTTTTAGTTGTATTTTTGAAGTTGTTGTCGGAGGCAGCAGTTTCCGGTGTTTACCTATGCCACCATCTTGGTTTCTCCCCGTATCATTTCACTTTAATCCTTAAGAGAATTTTATGAGGTAGGTACTGTCATTGCCCCCATGTTACTAATGAGGAAATGAGGCACAGAGAGGTGAAGTGACTTGTCTGAGGCCACACAGCTAGCAGATGGAGGAGTGGGATTTGAATCCAGGCAGTCTGACTCTGGGACCTGATAGAAAGCTGCAGATGTCTTTCTCTGGCGGACGAGGAGGAGGGGTTTGGAGTATTTATTAATGTTTATTAGTCAGTTGGCTTAGTTTCCTACATCTAAGAGCTGTTGGTGGTTGGGTTTGCTTCTCTGTAAGGGCAGCAAGTAAGAAAACCTGCAGGTGGGCAGTGAGTGGGACAGAGGGAGGATCTCATGACCGTGGTTGGAAACCTAGGCTGACTTCTCCTCGGGGTCTCCAGCAGCCAAAGGAACAGCACTGAGTGGGAAAGGACGGCCATTGTCTGGGTTACAGGAGTAGTTTCGAGGAACCCAGGAGGCAACCGAGGCAGCATTGGGAGGCCCTGGCTTCTTGCCGGCTGTTAGCTGGAGCCACCTTCTGCTAGGAGAGGCCACTCATAGTTCCCAGAGACTTCTGCAGCTCCGGCGGCCACCACAGTTTGTGTTGCGTGGGCTTTCTCAACATGGCCTCTCAATTCATCAGGCCATCAGGGAGAGCGAGTCTGCTCGTAGGGACCCCAGCTGATGAGGGGGTGTCTCTGGTCCTAGGTTGGATGGGAACAGTTTTTCTTGCAGAAGTAGCCTAACCTGAAAGAAATCCCCTGTGCTTTTGACATGGCATGAACGATAGCATCAGGAATCCTTTCATATTCAATAAGACACATGTCTCCTTGCTGCCTTCTCTCCAAACACAGGCAACCCCAGTTATTCTGCTCGAGATTCGATAGGGCCCTAAGCAAAGTCCTGCATTTGGATACGTGGTCCTTTCGTTGGGCGGTTTGGGTTTCGGATGAGGTTTGTTTTGGTGTCATTGGCCATGGCAGGGAGCCACACTTGTCTTTGACTTTCTAGATTGTGAGTTTCCCAGTCCAACTGTCATAGGTGGTGTAGAAAAAAAAAAAGATTTAAAATACGCAACTGTGTCCCACATCTTTGCTTAAACATCACTTCACAGGGGCAGTTTGTCTCCATTCCTGCCCTGTAGGTCAGCTGCAGCATTTGCATATTTCTAATTACTGATGCATTGAGAGTGTTTAATGCGTCCTCAGTGCGGGGGTGGAAGAGGTCTGAGCAGCGCCTTCCTGCCCACGCCGTCTCTCCAGGACCTACCACCACAGGCACTTACTGGCTGATGTCTGACCGCTTGGTGTTTTGTTTCACAGGAACAGACAACCTTCAGACAACTGTCACCCCAAACCCGGAGTCGTTTCCTCCCGGGAAATTGTCCCCGATTTCACCAACATGGCCTTTCTCCGAAGTCCAGTCTTCCTCCGCAGTGGATAGAATCAAGGATGTGCTGGGCCCAACCCCTGACAACACCAGCGTGCTGCCGTTCACCCGAACACCTCCTCCCAAGACACACCGCAGGCCTCGGGCTCACGGGGACCTCTCCGCTTCCCCTCACCAAGGGAGCGGATATAGCGCCTCCCTCGAGCCTTCCAAGGATTCCACCGAGTCGCCGGTCCAGCCAAGACCGCCAGGGGGACGAGAAGCAGCCGGTGTGTCAGGTTTGCCTCACACTAGCATGCTCCCCGCATTGCCCACTGTCCCCTCGGGGACGTCCTTGAGCCCTGTCCTCCCGTCTCAGCCAGTGTGGGTAGGGGCTCCTTCCATCTCAGAACGACATTCTCTGAGGTCAGACATCCTCCCACTTCTCCCTCCATCTCCATCCCCTTCATTGGCTCCTGACTCGCCTCATTCCATCATCTTTTCTAAGCCGGCCGGGCGACCCACCACAGCGCCTTTAGTCCCCCAAACAGCTCCAACTGACTGCTCTCCAAGTCAGAGCGTGGCTAAACCCCGAAACCCACTTCCTGCCGAAAGGAACCACACTCCATCCCCAAATGCCCAGGATTTAATAAGCATCCCCCGTCTAGGTTTCTCTGGATCTTCAACAGAGCAGTATTCGGAGCTGCCCCCCACGGAGGATCCTCGCGCAGCAGGCTCCCCCACACCAGAGTTTCTGAGGTCCGGGCCAGACCTGGCCCATCGGTCTCCCCCTCCCCCAGCACTTGGAAGTCTTCACCCGCCCCGTGGAACTCCCTCCTGGTCAAGCTTGGAAGCGGCATCAAGGCCTGCGTCCACCCAGCCAGTCACAGCGGAGGTGGCCGAAACGGTGCACAACGGGGCGTCTCTGCCAGCTCTGAAGAGTGGGGCTGTGCCCTCACTTTCCCAGACCGCTGAGTCAGGGGCGGTGGAAATGACCAACAGGACACTAGCCCCCGCCACTGCAAAGGACTCCGCTAACCCACTGCACCTGTCAGCAGCTCCAGAGAATTCTGAAGGGCCCATCCTTTCAGCAGAACACACATCTTCCTCTTTGGTGCCTTCTCCTCTGCCTCCCACCACAGCCGGCCGAGGACAAGCCCTCCTTTCTGGGGCGGTTCCTGCATCACCCTCGAAGGGCGCAGTGGCAGACTCTCCCGCTGTCCTGCAGCCGGCAGGGAACCATGCCTCTCCATCCATCCCGCCCCGAATGCCAACTCCTCAGGGAGAGGGCCACAGTGGACCCCCTCCTACTGCCGCTACCGACTTCCTCCTCTCGAGCACATTTCCTAATCTCCTTGCCGCCTCTTGGATGTTCTCGCTGCAGAAAGAAGGTGGCGGGACAGCTGTCCCAAGGAAAAACGAAAGGGCAAATTTGACAGTTGCTCTCCAGACCTTCCAAAGTAAAGAGATTCCGAGTCTTCACACTCTAAACGGATTCACCTCTGCTTTCAGCACTGATCCTATTTCATCCACTGTCCGTACAACGCCAAGAGCAAACCTTGCTTCAGAATTACCTCCCCGTTCTCTCCCTTCCACACGAGTTGCCCAGACTGTTTCCCCATCTCCCGGCTTTTCCAGCAGCAAGCCAGAGACGGACGCAGCTGCAACGGGCCATTCGGAGCTGCCAGTTTCAACTTCCAAACAGGTGACGGCACTTCCCTCCTCCACTGAGGTCTATGATTTCTCAACAATGGGAAGCGTGAAAAAGCCAGCGGTCACAGATGTGTTCCGGAGTTCCCTTTCCGCAGAAACTGGATCCCTTTCCACAGAACCAACGATATCTGGCTTGCTGCAGCAAACAAATTATGCTATAAATGGGCACACAATTAACTCCACAAGTTGGAAACCTCACTCAGCTTCCTCTCCTGCCCCCAGTGTTTTAGCTTCAGCTGTTAATACAATAGACCCCCAGAATCTCAAAGACACTGCTGGGCATGTAGCAACTGCAGAAGGCTTTAGCATTCAGGATTCAGTCCTTGATACAGGCACCAACCAGCCCATCCAACAGTCAGATGTTACCGTGGTTGGAAACCATACAGCTGTCTTGTCTACAAGTAATAACCATTCCAGAGACTTCCAAGCAACTGAAATTGAAGATGACCCATCCACAAGTCAACAAGTCACGTCTCATCCCCATGTACAGCGGCCTGTCCATCCAACATGGCCTCTCTCGCTACCCTCTCCAAGTCTGCCTTCCACAGCTGGCTTGCAGGAGATGTTTTCAGATGGAATGGATACAAGTTCCAAAATTTCCAGCAACTTCTACCCATCTCCTGCGGTACATGCTTCCACACCATTCCAGAGTATCCCGAGATATCACTCTACTGCTGAATCTCCTCTGTCAACCAGGGCCTCACTCAGGACCCCATCCAAAGTGCTTCTGCCTTCTCAGCGCCCCAAGAAATGGACAGGTGCAGCCACTAATGCAGGAAGTTTGTTTCCTGGTACCCAGAAAACAGGTATGACTGCTCCTGTGGCCAAAGCATCTTCAAGCTCAACACAGATACCCAGCTTTGCTCAGGAGCAGACACACCCTTCCACGCTGGTGAAAGACTCAGCAGCCCCACATAGTCATGCCCTTGACCCTCTGCCGACTTGGTGTTTTTGAAAGTATTCAGAATTTAAGTGTCCTTATTACCGACCATAGCTTTGCTATAACTGGCATTCTCATTGTGCTTAATTGACTTAATGAGCCTAAGCTATGTGGCCTAAATTTCAGAGCACAGAGACTTTTCATCCCAGCAAACCCATCAGTTACATCCATTCATCACCTCAAGTGATGTGTCCACTGTGGGCCAGTGACAAACTTTGCTTTTTCTCTCTTTACAGTGGACTTCGCAGTGGCTTCCAAGGCAGAACCAACAGCAGCTGCAGCAGCATCCACGTTGCTCCTGAGGAAATCAAGTCCGGCGGCACTGTCTGCAGCCCTGGTCGCTAAGGGCACCGGCAGCAGCCCTTTGGCCGTGGCCTCTGGATTAGTCAAGAGCAGTTTGACCACTGCTCTAGCTAGACATGTCACAAACAACACGGCATCGGGCCCGAAGGCGACACCAGGGGCAGGCCACCCAGCCTCCTCGTTCACGCCAACCTACATGTTTGCAAAATCAGCACACACCACGAGCACTCACACAGCCATGCAAGGGAACACGGGCACCGCCTCCGGCCTGTTGTCCACAACACACCTCCCCAGGAAGCCACAAGCCATGCACACGAACCTCCCAAACCCCACCAACCCAGACCTGCCCAGGGCGTCCACCACACGCTCGCTGACAATCACCGCAGCCTTGACGTCCGTCACCGCACCAGTTAGGGCCACGCGGTTGCCGCCTCTGCTGGCAGAAAACCCAAATGCCGCTCTTCCCGCTGTGTCGACGGCTGTGGTCACAACTGGCAAAATGGCGTCCAACCTGGAGTGTCAGATGTCTAGTAAACTCCTGGTGAAAACAGGTAAGGCTCCACTCTCCTGACTTTACTTGGAGCAGCAAGCACATGATGGCTTCAGAGAGGCAACAGAATTATTAGATTTCTTTGAGATCAGTGGTTCTCACCAGGGGCAGTTTAGCTCCCCCTCCCCCGGGGATATTTGCACATCTGGAGATGTGGAGCGGGGGGTGTCTTGAAGGGCAGGGGGGGTGCGTTGGCACCTGATGTGATAGAGACGAGGGAGGTTGCTAAACATCCTACAATGCCCAGGATGGTTGACGACAAAGAACAGTTCAGCAGCCCAAAATGTCAGTAGTGCCAGCGTTGGGAACCCCTGATCTTTATCCAGTGACGGAGGGTAAGACAAGCATTTTGTGACACCATCTAGACTCGGGATCAGTCCTGAAATCAGAGGCCCCTCTGAAACCAGTTCGACCAGGGGTCTGAGGAAGCACAGGTTTTGCCTGCAGTGATGTTTCACATGCATGAATGATGTGTTAGTAAATAGACAACCTCAGGAAGCACCACGGAATTCAGAAAGGCTTTGTGTCATGGGTTTTCTCAATCAGCAGGTACTAACAGTACGGCTACGGTACACTGCGTGGGCACCTGGGATTATTTCTTTTGATGTTAAAAAGGAGGCCTTGAAAATGTTGGGTGGTGGGTGCTATCTCTTCAGCCCCCACCTATCAGTGGCACCAAAGCAGACCAAGAAGGCACAGGGTCCTTTTCATAGTGTGGTATTGTTTGCTACAAAAAGCATCAGACACAGTATTTGAAAGAGCATGCCAATGTCGAATGCCTGCATCCCACCTTCCTCTTCACCCCACAAAGAACTAAATGAAATTATTTCTTGTGGCATATCCTATGTTACGGATATGAAACTAGGCATAGCAGAAAGTACAGTATCTCTTCCTATATCTCAAGAAATTATACCAGCTGGTTTCCCACTTCCCCTCCCCCTTGCTCTCCAACTCTGTGCCACCTCCTCTGAGTGACAACCTCAACTGCCTGGATGCAGAAGTCTGGAACATTCTCCCCCTCCCATCTTCACCAACCCCCTGGCTCCCCAGCCACACCCTGTCAGTCACCAGCTCCTTTCAGTTCTCCTGGAACACTCTTTCTCTCCACCACAGCTACCACTTCCCTAGTTCACCTTGTCACGATCGCTCACCTAAATTTCTGCAACAAATGGCCAAATTTATCTCTCTGCCTTCAGACTCCATCTCCCTCCCCCCACCAGCCTGTTCTCCAGTCTGCAGTTAAAGGAACCTTCTAAAATGCATGCCTTTATTCAAAACCCTTCACTTCCCGTTGCCCTCAGGACCAAGCCTAAACACATACACTGAAATATTTCACTCTTCTCCCCTGTGCCTTTGCACATCTAGTTCAAGGAACCACACTCCCTCCGCTGGGAGTGGGTGGGAGTGGGTGGGAGTGGGTTCCCCCCCTGGCAAGCTCACTCCCATTATCCTTCAGGACTCAGCAGAAGCACCAGGAACCCTTCCTAGGTCCCCACGCCCTTGCCCAAGTCAGGGCTGGATGCTCCTCCTGGGGCCTCCAATAGCATCCTAGGCTTCCCTTCAAATAGCACCTGTCAGTCAGTCACAAATGCCCTGGTCTCCATCCCCGTCTCTGTCGCTCTTGTGGGGTGGGGTCCTGCCGTCCTGATTCAGGCTGCAGCACCTAGCTCAGCGCCTGCCCCTAAGTCAGCTCTTGGGGATGCTGTTGAGGGAATTCCCTTGTATGCAGACCCACCAGGGGCAGGTCCTGCTGAGCACCCACTTTCCAAGTCAGAAGCAGCGTTGGTCTGAAATGAAGTGCCACCGGCATGATGGCTGTCTCTCCGCACAAATGGCTGGCGAGGGCCTTCTTTCCTTAGGACGTGAGTGGGGCCCGCAGAGCTGCTATCCCAGCTCTGCCCTCATTGGACCTGCACTCACCGGCTTCGCGCAGAACTTGTGGGAGGTGTTGGCCGGGGAGGAGAGGAGGGCTCATGTGTTGGGGCGTCTGCTGCCTTACCCTGATGACCATACTTTGGTTTTTCCCCACAGTTCTCTTTCTGACGCAGAGGAGAGTGCAGATCAGTGAAACCTTGAAGCTCAGTATAGCCAAAGGGCTCACGCAGGCATTGCGCAAGGCTTTCCACCAGAATGACGTCTCGGCTCACGTAAGCCCCTTGCTTTGTCATCCGTCTAATCCGGTCTAGTCTTCCTCGGGGGACCAGAGTAGGTTCAGATCATTTTCCTCCCCCCCTGGGTACCATAGCCACGGAGCATCTTTTTTTTTTTTTTTCCATTTTGGCAAATAGTTCATGTGTTGTTGTTGGGGGAAAAGGTCAAATCTTGAGGTGGAAAATTGGGACTAATTGCCTTATGTCCGGATTTTTCTTAAAGCCTGGATATACTGTTTTAATTGGTCCTATTATCCCATTGTCTGGGAAAAGTATTTAGTAATTGTTCGTGTAATTCTCCAGAAATCATCCATTACTTCTTCCTTTATCTTCCCAGCCATTGTAAATAGTTAATGATTTATTTCGGGACATTTAAAAATTACTCTGACTTGTAATTGAGTCCAACTTTGCTCAAATTGCCAGCAGCAGACGGGGAAGTAAACACTTTTTTTTTCCCCTCCAAACACTCTAATGCCAAGTACTATTTAACAACTGCTCGCTGTGATGGAAGCCTCACTTTACACGCTTTTGGTTTGATTCCAAGTTTTAAAGCAGTAAATGCAATTGGCAGTCGGTGGGCAACCCTTTGCAACACTTGGAACTGTTGCTCTGGCCTCTTCCTTTGATGTTTTGTTCTGCAGCTGCAGTTGGCTTGGTGGCCCTCTCCTCCCACTACCACACCAAGGACTAGGAATAAGGTTTGGTACATAATTTGCTGGCCATTGTCAGTCTCTTGTATATAATTTTGAAAAAAAGAAAGAAACGCATTTCATGTGAGGCATCTGTGGTTTCTGTGGCAGAAACGTTATTTCAAAGTGGAAAACGTGGCCCCGCCAGCGTGGTTCAGTGGTTGAGCATCAACCTATGAACCAGGAGGTCATGGTTCAATTCCTGGTCAGGGCAGATGCCCGGGTGGCAGGCTTGAAACTCAGTGTGAGGCGTGCAGGACGCAGCTGATCAATGACTCTCTCTCATCATTGATGTGTCTATCTCTCTCTCCTTCTCCCTCTCCCTTCCTCTGTGAAATCAATAAAAAAATATTTTTTAAAAAAAGAGAGAGTGAAAAATGTGAATGTTTCTATTGGTTGCCTGATACAGGTTCCACTAAATTTCTCTCATTTGCAAACGACCTTCGTAGTTTTTGCCTTTTCTGCATCTCCTCACAGACTGCTGTGACAGAATGTATTTTTTTTTAATTGGCTCATTCTTAAGAACTTCAATACATATCTTTTGAAAGGATGTTTGATATTACCACCACAAATGGAAGTCCCTAAGAAAAGGGAATCATAAAAGTGAGAATAATGGAAACAGCTTGTTAAATTCAAGCTAGACATGGTTGGCAAAAATGTGATTGTAAGGATTAGAGGGGTGTTAAAAGTAAGTACTCCCCAAACGGAGACTCGGTCCTTGGGGTAATGAGAAGGACAGGGGCAGGAGTCACTTTCTCTCTGGCATCCCTACTGCTGTGTCCATGCTCCATCCAGAAGTAGCTTGTTCCACCGAAAGCCACCTTTAAACAATTTTTATTTTTATTTTCCAGTGACAGTTTATATTCAATATTACTTTGTATTAATGTCAGGTGTACAGCCTAGTGGTTCGGCAATCATATACTTCACAGAGTAACCCTCCCATATTTCCAGTACCCACTCGGTGCCATACGTAGTTATGACAATATCATTGACTATATTTCCTTTGCTGTTCTTCACAGCCACGCGACTCTTTTGTAGCTACCAATTTATACTTCTTAACCCCTTTAACTCTTCCACCCAACCTCCAACCTCCCCTCCCCTCTGGCAACCATCAGTCGCCTAAAGCCGCCCGCCCGTCTGGAGCACCACCTTTGGAAACCAAGTGTGGAGGAACCAGAGGCACAGCCAGCCTGTTGCAAAACCAGTTTTCTTGATCTCTTGGGCAAATGCATGTGACACTACTAATGGAGATGCCAAAATAAGGGGGGAAAGTGGGTGTTTAAAACACCCTGACTTATAATGAACAACATAAACTGATGAACAAAAAACAGACCCAGAGACAGAGAAGCATCGATCAGACCGTCAAACCTCAGAGGGAAGGCAGGGGAGGGTGGGGGTAAAGGAGAGATCAACCAAAGGACTTGTATGCATGCATATAAGCCCAACCAATGGACACAGACACCAGGAGGGGGAGGGCATGAGGAGGGGGGAGGGGAGGGCAATGGGGGAATAAGGACACATGTGTAATACCTTAATCAATAAAGAAAATAAAAAAACCACAAAAGAACACCCTGACTTGTTAATATAAAACACGAAGAAAGCAAAAATAAATAGTAGAATCTAAAGCCTCAAAACCTTCCAATTGGGTTAAGAAGAGCTCAGATTATCATATCTCTTAGGACTCAGCTGTAAGAGAAACTTTCTCCATGGCCCACCCCCACCTCAATCTTGAACCAACTACATGTCAAGAATGGGGTGGCGTCTAAACCATTCTTCTCTCAGCTTCTAGAGAGAGGAAGTCACCTCATATACTGTTTGACCCCTGTCCTGAAAGTTCCCCCACTTGTTCTCTCACTTCTGCCTTTTAATTTCCGTAAATGATGAGCAATATAATAAAGCTATTTTTTAGCATGCCATTCCCTGGAAATCTGTTTTGCCTGCCATCTTGGAAGATAATTGGTGCTCACAGGATTATCCTGAATCCCTTAAGGAATCAAAAATACGCAGCTTTAATTCTGTTCCATGTAGGTTCAATATAGTTTATATTTTGTTGTATTCTGATATTTTGAGACTTGCCAATCTACGTCTGCTTTATAGGGTTGTTAGAATATTTGTTGAACGAGAACATCCTCTTCCCCAGCCATGCTAAATGGTCCTAGAAAACACCAAGAACTTAAAGTGGAAACGAGCACTCAGTTCTGTGGGTTCATTTGTTTTGCAGGTGGACATTCTGGAACATTCTCATAACGTCACAGTTGGTTATTATGCCACCAAAGGGAGGCTGGTGTACTTGCCTGCCGTGGTGATCGAAATGCTGGGTGTTTATGGGGTCAGCAACGTCACTGCCGATCTGAAGCAACATACCCCAAGCTTGCAGTCCGTGGCAGCACTCGCCTCCCCGTGGCATCCCCAGCCTGCAGGCCACTTCCAGCTGAAAACAGGCAAGTAACTCAGGACGAAAGGATTCTATCGGTTCTGGGACCAGGGGCAGTGCCAGGAAGACACCCGTTTTAAAACTCCATTGCTAACTGCTCTGTCATCTCTTGTTCTTTCCCCAAAGGGCGTGCTAATCAAATGCCCAAGTGCCCTGCACATCAGCCTAATTTTTTCCTGGATTTACTAGAAATATTTCTTCACAGGAGCCTTTCTTCCTACCGTATATAATTGGTACTTTTGTGCACCAAGTACTGTAGTTTTTATTTTTTTTTTCTGTATTATGGGTACTGATAAGAGCTAAGTAGCCATAAAATCTATGCTTTGGAGCAACACATTGCAGATGCCACTGAATTAGAATCTCTGAGCTTCTGCCTTGGGATCTTTCTTCCAAGGTTCCTGCTGATTCCAAACCACAAGCATAGAGAAACCATTGAAATGGAAAGACTCAGTCAACTTAGTCGTGCAGGTTATTTGATTATTTTCTCCCCCCAAAGAACCAGAAGGCATTTTGGTGCCTTGGGTTATTTTTTTAAAGTATCTTGGAGCAGATGTCTCCATATTCCAATCAAATGAAACCACAAAATCCTTTGCATTGGAAGGGCCTCGGGTCTCATCACACTTTCAATTCTTCTAGGTTATAAATCATGTTAAGAGCCACATCTGAAACTACAGCCAAACCTTGTCTCCCTTCCTTGCCTGATTGCTCTGATGTAAAAATTGTGGTTTTATATTACGACGGCTATTAAGCCCGAGTGCGGATTTATGACTCTCGTTCTAGTGCTTCAGTTTGTGAGCCAGTCCGACAACATACAGTCCTGCAGGTTTGCTCAGACGATGGAGCAGAGGCTACAGAAGGCCTTCCAGGATGCCGAGAGGAAGGTGCTGAGTACCCAAAGCAACCTGACCGCTCAGGTGAGGAGGGCGCTTGAGCCGTGTGGTCGACGGAGGCCAGTCATAATGCAGATAGATGTTGGCAAGAGGTCACTGGGTCCCCCGTTTCAAAGCTTCCTGGGGTGGATGTTACTTTGTGCTTTGGGTGTGTGATGTAGGCAGGAGACGGTGCCACTCCGGGGCCACGGAGTCGAGTCAGTCCCGGCATCGGTGAGGCTGTCTGGGATATGGGTGCTGTGTCGCTCTCTACCTGCAGTGGTTTGGGATTTTATATCTATTTTCCCATGTGAAGATGCCTCAGGCCTTTCCAATACATTCATTATTTTTAAAAATTGAACTGGACTATACTATATAAGATATGTCAGATGTCTCATATAAAATGAATCATTTTTAAATAGCTAACTCACTAAGATGTGCCTATTCTGTGATTTTCATTGAGTCATTTTACAGATATCCATGTGAACAGTCACCTTACTTTACACACACACACACACACACACTCACACACACAGTATATTTAGGGCTTCCTATGTGCCAGGACTGTGCTAGGTGTTTAATGAATGTTTTGCTACATAATACTTAAAACTTCCTTCTGAGGTTTATCATCACCATTTCACAGACGAGAAAACTGAGAGAAAGGTGAGAAACGTCCAGAAGGTCACATGGTTGGTAAAAAAATAGAACAAAGACTTGAGCCAAAGCCCATACTGTGATTCATCATGCTACACTAGCATCAGTGCAATGCAGAAATGGGGCCCTTGGTGAAACTTTTGACAAGCACATGATTATTTCCCAGGAAAATCCCACTTCTGGTTTACTATATTTCAGTTTCCTGGATTTTCAGTAGATATGCTATCAAAAGCCTTTCTCAGACCCCCCCTTTTTTTTGCAATTGTGCAGATACCATCCCACTAAAGACAGATGCTTCTTAATGGTATTTATCCAGCCACCAAATTTCTCTAATTAACTGAACAAGCCAATGTCTCTGTTTTCACTAAACCAAAAGCCTTTGCAATAAAACCCAGTGGTTTTGAAATTGACATTTAGCATAAGTGAATTATCAGCAAAGCCAAGATGATGTAGAAAGCATTCAATTTAATTTGAATGAGAAGCTTTCCTTTTCTAGATCAATCCAAAGTGCAAGTATCTCATTATGATTTGGTTTATTTTAGACTAAGATCTAAAAACGTGTCACAGACTTACGATTTATGTAAGGAGTATGACTCAGCTCTTTGGTGGGAGATCTTTTTTTCTGTTGGGATTTGGAACTTCATAGGTAGAACCTGCTTAGAGCTAGAATATGCTCTGTTCAGGAAGCACAGACCTACTGAGCACCTGCTAGTCATCAGGCCCTGGGAGGGACACCGAGATAAAAAAGCGGCCCTGGGCTTTAGCAAGGAAGAGACCTTTCTTGGAAAAGACTACAACAGGCAATTTGAAAATTGTATCTAAGTAGATTTTGAATGCTCTTGAGAGTATCAACAGCTTTTTTTTTTTTTAAATGTTTTTATTGATTTTTAGAGCGAGAAGAAGGGAGAGGGCTAGAGAGCTAGAAACATTGATGGGAGAGAAGCATCATCGATAGGCTGCCTCCTGCGTGCTCCCTTCTGGGACTCGAGCTCACCACCCGGGCATGTGTCCTGATCAGGAATCGAACCCTGACCTTCTGGTTCATAGGTAGATACTCAACCACTGAGCCATGCTGGCCAGGCAACAGCTCTTTTTAAAAAACCTTTATTGTTGAAAGCATTACATAGGTCCTCCTTAACAGCTCTAGAAATGAACGGCTAACTAGGTGAATTGGTTTATTAAGCCCATTTCTCTTCTTGCCTTGGCTGATAGGAAGCCCAGAGACAAAGTTGTTGCCTGGGTTTAGTAACCCTCTTAGCCCCTATGTCATGCATAGAGAGCTGTATGATAGCCATTCCCCGGGGATTGTCTTTAATCTGTTTTTCCAGAACCTGGTTTTGTAATTAGAACTTTCCATTTCATTGTGTTAAATATAATTTGTGAAGCACTTTGGATTCTCTGTGGAATAAGACCATGTAAATATTTAATTAATTTGTTTAGAGAATTATTGAAAATGTGACTTACAATTATTTTTTTTTACTTGTATAGCGTTGATATTAGAAGGTTGATATTAGAGGGTAGATTACAGTTGACTCAATTAAGAATTTTTGGTGCAGCCGTAGCTGGTTTGGTTCAGTGGATAGAGCATCAGCCTGTGGACTGAAGGGTCCCAGGTTCGATTCCGGTCAAGGGCACATGCCCAGGTTGCAGGCTCGATCCCCAGTAGGGGGCGTGCAGGAGGCAGCCAGTCAATGATGTGCATGTACTTCATGCCACCAAACTGTACACTTAAAATGGTAAAATGTATGCGCTTTACCACAATAAAAATGTATGAAACGGATGTAATGTCATATGTCAGTTATACTTCCATAAGACTATTCTTAGCTTAAAAAGGTATAATCGTTATCAGAGGATTACACACACGGGATTCCTCCATTGCAGTGGGACTGGCATTCTTGGGATGCTGCTGGATGAGTATTTCGGGAGATCCCCACGGGAAGATGAAATGTGGTAAAAGGCTTCTTTTCCTGGAGTTACATTCCTCGGGTTGTATAAAGTCCCACGTCCCTTAACTCAGTCCTGAAAACGGAGCAGCTGGGGCTTTCGTAGAGCTGAAAGCAAAGCCAGCGTCCAGAGTTTTCATTCCATGGTGGAGGCGGGGTCTGAGGTAGCATCAGACTAGATTCAGTCCATCAGTCTGTTGTGTGGGTCCCACATGGCCGTGAGCCACGTGGGTGAATGCAGGGTGTGGGAGCCCCTGCAAGCCAGGAGTTAGGCTCGAGCAGCACTGGCAGGAAGAAAGGGCACACTTAAATGAAGACAATTTGAGGAGAGTTCAATAGAAGGGACCCTTTGCAGAAGCCTGGGCAGGCACTAGGGAAACCACAGGGACGGTGCAGTACCCGAAACAGGAACAATTGGGGCTGAGGGGGCAGGGAAAGGAACAGTTACAGGAAGTCAGAGGCTTGAGTTGCCTAACGGGAGCTTTGCCTAAGTAGCAAATCTTCTCCAGCTTGCACTGGGCATGCCTATTCTAGCCACTGACTTGTTCCCAGGTGTGACTGACAGGTAAGCACCTTCCCACGGCACCCAGACCTTACTGGGCGTGCGTCTGTTGTCCAGTCCCTTCCCCAGCAATCTGCAGGGGATAGACTTGGAGAATGTTAATTGCAGCTTTCTGGCAACGCTGCATACATGGGATGCCTATATTTTCTAGCCTCCCTTTTACTCCTTTCCTGTTACTAATAAACAGCTTATTGTAACGGTATCATAATTACCTGGTCAAGTACAGTGTGCACAGAGGCACCCGTGCTGCAGGCTGTTTGGGACCCAGTGGGTTTTGTTGAAAAGCGGAAAATAAAATGTTCACAATAGAGATAAAGGTTGGAGATAAAGGCTGTAAAGTTATTTTGGTGATTACTTTTATGGGTCACAGTACCGTGAGGTCTTTTGAATTGTTGAGAAAGAAGTGGCTTTCTTTTTAGTAAGTTGAGAACGAGGCATAAATACCTGTGGCTAAAACCACATTCTAAAAATACTTCGCAGAGAGGAGAGTTGTAAGAGTTGACCAGCAATGTTGACTCTCTAGGTCATTAATGATGGGACTATATTATGTACTCCGTGACTATATAAGAGAATTTAAAAGGAACTTCCATGCATGGGGAAAGGTCGGAAATAACGTGAAGAAGGTATTCTTGACCGTCTTCTTCAAAGTAAGGTTAAAAGGAAAGTTGCAGGCATATGTATGCCTGAGCACACAGAGGCCCGGGAAAGACAGAGAGCAGCCAGCCCCTGGCAGGAAGAAAGGGCACACTTAAATGAAGACAATTTGAGGAGAGTTCAATAGAAGGGACCCTTTGCAGAAGCCTGGGCAGGCACTAGGGAAACCACAGGGACGGTGCAGTACCCGAAACAGGAACAATTGGGGCTGAGGGGGCAGGGAAAGGAACAGTTACAGGAAGTCAGAGGCTTGAGTTGCCTAACGGGAGCTTTGACCCCACAGAGAGGGAGTCCCCAACACCAATGCTCTGATCTCCCTCTCCCTCTCTCCACATCCTCCTGATCTCCCTTTAAAAAAAAAAATTCTCACCAGAGGATATGTTTTTTATTGATTTTTTTTTTTGAGAGAGAGAGGAAGGGAGAGAGGAAGAGAGAGAAGCATTGATGTGAGAGAAACATCGATTGGTTGCCTCCCCTATGTGCCCTGATGGGGAATTGAACCTGCAACCTTTTGGGGCATGGGATGACATTTCAATCAACTGAGCTACCTGGGGAGGCCCTGACCTCCCTTTAGCTGAAGCCAGAGGGCAAAGGAGCCCACTGGGGTGGTCTGGTCCACAAGGGTCTGCCTCTGGGGGTGCTGAGCAGGACAAGAGGGGTGGCAAGTGGATGGGGAGGAGGAAGGAGCAGACAAAGGCTGTCTCACCAAGTGGAATGACTTCCTACTGCATCTGTTTTTCAAATCTCATCTGTGGGATATTTTTGTCTGTACCCTGACCCAGAAAACCTCGTTTTCCAGTAACGAAAAAACCGACTTAGACAAAATGTGAGAAGAAAAACACACCATCTCATACTTATATTTGCATGTTCTATATTGAACTCATAGGCCACCAGGAAATGCAATCACTCTCTAAAGAAGCTGTTGATGTTTCTGAATTTCTTTGTAATCGGGTTCAGTCACTGTTTGTTACTAGGCCTGTACATTCCCTGTCCTTCCAACTTAAAAATTCCCCCCAAATGTTACTTGAGCTTTTTCTATCTGAGCACGTGAGTCCTCCTTAAACTGAACATATCCGTGCTGTAGAAGTGAGACAATCTAGCCCCTGGGGAAAATACACAGCAGGGGTTAGAACCTGAAAGACTGCCTAGGTTTGAATCCTGGCTCCGTCACTTCTTAGCTGTGTGACCTTGGGCAAGCCCCCTGATCCTTCCGGGCCTCAGCTTCCTTCTCTGTAAAAGGGAATCCTAATCAGGTACACCTCCCGGGGTGGTGGTGAGGGTGAAATGAGATAAGGTGCCCTTCGCACGATGCCCGGCACGCAGCCCGCCATCAGTGAGTGACAACCGCTGTTATTCTTGTCTCTTCCTCGCTCTTTCCCCACCTCCCTTTCAGTCCTACCCTCAACTTCTGCTGAAACCTCTTCTCCCACGGCCTCCGTGAAACAGACCCTCATCTTATTTGGCATGTCTCCCTCCCCTTTCCTCCTGTGTCGATTCAGATTGTGAGCACGTCCAACGCCTCCCAGACCGTCACCTTGGTGTACGTGGTGGCCAACCGGAGCTCTTTCCTCAATGGCACCGTCGCCAGCAGCCTCCTCCGCCAGCTCTCAGCTGAGCTGGTGGGGTTCTACCTCACCTACCCGCCGCTCACCATTGCTGAACGTGAGTATGTCCCCGTCACGCTGGGACTCTGCCGGTTTCCCCGGGGGCCTTTCTCCATTGTGCAAACATCCATGGTGCCAGGCTGTATACTAAATCCTTAGTCATAAAACAACTGGAATATGTGATAGCACGAAGATAGAATTGATGACAAATTTATTATTGCACATTGAAAAAAAAGCACTTGCTGGATGCCTTTGCTCTTCACAGACCTCTTATCTCATTTACTCCTTACAACCGCCCTATGAGGTAGGTGCAAAATTATTAGCACCATTTTGCAGATAAGAAAACTAAGTTTGTTCAGTTTAATAAAGCGTCCACACTTACACGGCTGGTCAGACATGGAATTTTAACCCAAGCAGTCTGCCTCTGAGTTTATAAGCCCGCCTGGCAGGGCACTTGCCCTTGCGGCCATATGGATTGCTATAATTTCCCCCGCTTCTACCATCAGCAAATGTCCCGGGGCCTTTAGCTCTGGCCCTGGGTATAGATATCAGTGCAGCTAATTTGCCATCAGCATCGTGACTTCCCTTGATGAAGAGCAGATAGCCCTGTGGCCTCGTCTTCCGTTAATACCTCAGTTACATAACCCTCACCACCATGCAGCAGGCGTAAGGCTTCGAAGACGATGCAGCCTACATTCTGTCTCCAGACACTTACTTGATACCCAAAGGAAGTAAAGGTTTGTGCTCTTAAATGTAACGATTGATCCTTTCCCAAGGTCACTGGGCAAGCGTTTTATAAAACACAGTAGAGGCCTTCCTTCCCCCAGGTGCTGGCACCAGCTTCCCTCTGACACCCAGGACTGGGCTTCCCTTGCAGCCCCGGCTTCATCCGGAAGGTCATCAGGAAGGATGTCCGGTCTAATTAGCATATTTTGCTTGTATTATTATAGATATTAGCATAATCCTTTCTATGTCCTTCCGTGGTTGCTTTTGATTCTGTAAACAAAGGAGAGGATGTGTGTGGCTATGCTTTAGCACAAGATAGCCATTCTGAATTTTTTTTTTAACGTTTCTTCAATAGCAAGCTTTTGTGAATTTCCGCGCAGTGAGGAAAGATAACTGGGTTTAATGGAAAAGGTGGTGTCATAAAGGAAGGCATCATGTCACCTGGAAGCAAGTGAAGAATTTATTTTCTTTCATCTTGATATTTTGATAATCACAACAGCTAAGGTTTGCTGAGCACTTACTGTGTGCCAGGCGCTGTGCTAAGCCCTTTACATGTATTAACGCTGATGGTCACTGCACCTGTCAAAAGATGTTAGTTAACGAGCATTTGGCTGCTAAACTTAGTCCTTGACATTGGAAAAATACATGCGAGAGAGAATCGTTCCTAAAAATGGTAGTGCCGGTTGGATATTTTACAAACCCTAGGAAGCTCTTCATCTGAAAGTGAGCTCTTTACTGAGCATTTTCGATTTCTTAACAGCAAGGCCATTCGGGCCTGTATGTCATAGAGCTCCTACGGATGATAAAGCAGGACTCACCTATGTCCATGTCCCGTCACAGTGTTTACATATAAAACTCGTGAAAGTAATTTGGTGTGTTTCTTACTTGTTTTAGCACTGGAATATCCCAACCTTGACATATCGGAGACAACCAGAGACTATTGGGTAATTACAGGTAATCTCTCATTTTATTTCCCCTTTCACCCTATCAGGTTGGTTTTTTGTTTTTTTTAAGCTGCATGTCAAAAAGAAAGAAACCTAAAAAATTAAAACTGCATGTTATTCGGTGATAGGATTGGCATCCTTTTTTTGGTCCTGTCCTATGAGTCAGGGAGTTACTTTCACAGAACCAGGAGTGGGTTCTTGTTTTTCAAAAGCCTGACAGTAGTTCTGAAAAGCCAAGAAGCGAGGATTGGCAGCAAAGAGAGAAGGCAGGTGTTTATAGGAGGAAAAGTGAGCAGGCCCGCCATAAACGGAAGGGCCAGGAGGGGAGGTGGTGGTCTGCTCGGGCTGCCATGGAAAGTCCCCCAGACTGGGATGGGTGGGGGCTTCAGAGTAAGCTGAAACGAGAAAACACACACACACACACACACACACACACACACACACACACACACACACACACATCACACTGAAGATGAACAATAGATAGGCCATTCAAAATAGCAAGCTGCAAGGCCCAGCTAGTGGCCCCCTCTTTGCAGAAAGTGGACCGATCGGAAGGAACAGCATTTACCTGTGGATGTCCAGGGCGTGTCCATGTGAATGGTTGTCTGTGCTAAGACTGTAGGCCTTTCTGCACTGCCCTACAGAATGCCAGTGGGCGTCAGGGGAATGCCAAAGTGCACTCTCCTCTCTCCCCGGGCACGAGGCCCACGCCCACACTAATCCTGCGGGGCCCGGGCGTGTCCTGACAGGGAGGGTGGGTGGAAGTAGAAGGGTGTTTGGGTGGCATTTTCTTTTTTTCCCTTGACATTTCCCAGCTGAGCTTTATGAAACAGCAAAACAGTTCTTGTTTTTCAAAAGCCTGACAGTAGTTCTGAAAAGCCAAGAAGCGAGGATTGGCAGCAAAGAGAGAAGGCAGGTGTTATAGGAGGAAAAGTGAGCAGGCCAGCCATAAACGGAAGGGCCGGGAGGGGAGGTGGTGGTCTGCTAGGGCTACCATGGAAAGGCCCCCAGTCTGGGGTGGGTGGGGGCTTCAACGATTCTAGAGGCTGGAAGTCCGAGATCAAGGTACCAGCAGGGTTGGTTTCTCCTGAGGCCTCTCTCCTTGGCTTGCAGATGGGCGTCTTTCCTCTGTGCCTTCACGTGGTCCTCCCTCTGTGTGTGTCTGTGTCCTGATTTCCTCTTCTTATAAGGACACAGTCATACTGGATTAGGGTCCACTTATATGATCTCATTTTACCTCAATTCCCTCTTCAAAAGACCTGGCTCCAAATACATTCGCATTCTGAGGGTCTGGGGGTTAGGCCTTTGGCACCTGAATTTTGGAAACAGTCCCGCCCATAACAAGGAGGGAGGGAGATTCTGTAAGTCATGGAAGATGTGCCTGGGCAAGCAAGCCCATCTAAAACCCGCTTCCTCCCTCCCGCCTCCTCCCTCACACACTGCGCAGGCGAGAAGGGCCACTGCCTACCCACGGACACAGGAGTACAGCCTTTTGAGGGGGCCTGCTCAAGACCTCTCCTAAATTGCAGAAAATTGCTTTTCTTTCTCTCCTGGGGAGCTATGGATATGCAGAGATTTTTTTTTTTTACCTGCTAAGTCAAACTAAAGAAATGTGTTTAAAAATTTAAAAAATAAACCTCACCAGAGTTTATGCCCAAGAGAGAGACAATGCTAACCCAGCAACACATTGTCCAAACCAGCAGGTTATGTAACATTTACAAAATCATTTCTTTTCTCCACCAGAAATGCTGCTTTTTAATTTGCAGAGGTTTGCCCCCTTCTGTTAACTTTAAGGTTTTCATTGAATGGTAGCATGTCCACTCTTGAATGCTGCATGTCCGAGACGACCTCCTGTTTCAGCCTGCCCTCGTGTGCCTGTGCCTCTACTGTAGTGACATAACCTTAATAAGGAACTCCACACATGGTCTTGTTCTCAGGATCCTCCTAGGACCTAACACCTGTCCCCCTACCTAGGTAACCCTCATTTCTTATTGCTGCTGTGGCTGTTGGAGATCAGAAGAAACAGTGGCCTCCATCACAGTGTTTGAGGCAGTTGGATCAGTTAGTGCTTGCGGGGGTGGGGGTGGGGGGGGCGAAACCAATTTCAGGGTTTCTTCTGGCCTCAGCTCTGCTACATACGAACTGAGTTTGTCCTTGAGGCAGTCACTCAGACCCTGTGGGCATCACACTCTCACCCTTAGAATCAGAAGATATGAGATGAACATTTAGGTCCTTTTGACTCTGAATGTGTCGGATTCAACCACCAGTAAAACAGTTCCGATTGAATACAGGAAGCTGAACCAGGCCTGATCATTGGAACTTTAGGCCCAGCTGCCTCCTAAGGACATAGTCTCTTTACACATAGAACAAGGAGGCACTGGGAGCTGTCCAGGTGCTGATTCCATGTAACCCTGTGGGAGGTTCCCACAACCTCCTACCCTGCCCTGGGTGTGAGTATATTGCAGACCTCATTAATATCCCTTCTTAAAATTGTGGTAAAATACACACAACATGAACATTTCTGTTTTGGCCATTTTTAAATGTACAATTCAGTGACATTAAATACATTCACAGTGTTGTACCACCGACACTGCTATCTACTTCTGGAGCTTTTTCATCACCTGGCTATCCCTTTCTTTGACGTCCCTGGGATTCTCACAGAGTGATCAACCCATGATGAAGTCCTCCGTGTCCTGTGTCCTCTCTCCTACTCTGCCCATTGGTCAGGAGAGGCCAACTCAGAAGTAATCCTTCAGTGGTTGATTATGAAATTTTACTAGAGAGGCAGCTCTGAATCAGCAAGAGCAGGGGCTCTCCTGTCTGGGGCCCAGGGGTAGGCTGTGTCAGGGGGATTCCGGGGGCTTCTGTGGGGCCTGCCCCGTGGGAACAGCACCTGAGCCTTTTCTCTTTGTTGGCAAGAATTCCGCTGACAGCTGAGCTGGGAGTCCCTTACAAGGGCCCTAGAAAGAGAGCTGCTTTATGCCCTCCATGGGGATTATTTGGTATTTATGGCCTCAAAGAAGTAATTTCTGAGACTCAGCTGTGGGCTTTACTTCCCTCTCAATCAGTTAAAAATAATTCTCTGTATCTCAGTGTCCATTGCTTGTTCTGGCCCTGAGCAGAATGCGGTCATAACGGCACATTCTTTATACCCAAGCTGTGTCCATATCCCAGTAGATGGCTGCCATTAATGGTCCTTAACTGGATTGTGGTAGATCAAACTCCCCAGCCCACGTAAGTTTTGGTTTCTTTAAGATAAGGATTGTTTTTAGCATTTTTTAATTTCCAGGATGGCTGTGTTTGAAGGCAGTGTTTGTGTGTTTGGGATGAAGTGTGCTTCCCAAGGAACTTGGAGGAAAGACTAGATTTGGGGGGTTGACAGCAAAAGACCATCAGTCACTCCCATAGTAAGTGGCCACGGCAGTCCTAGTCCTGGTGTTCATTAAAATCCTTCCCCATGCACCAGCCACTGCCTGGAATTCCATCACCGACACCTTGCCTATTGATTGCAGATGCCCTGGAGTAGATGAAGCTCCGCCATGGAGGACAATGGCAAGAGGAGCTTCGTGTGCCTTCCATGTGCTGGGCACTGTGCTAAGCTCCCTATACACCTGGTCTCATTTCACCCCTAGGTCTCTTTTGGAATATATTTGCTGTGATATGGACTTACGCCCTTTCTACAGAGGAGGACTTGGACGCAGGCAGGGCCAGTTGCTTGCTGAAAGTTTCACACTGGCAAGAGCTCTTGCTCTTTCTGTCCCACTGTCCTGCTCTCAGATGGAAGGGTACCGAAGGGGCCTGGGGCAGCTTTGGGGTGGCTCTCAAAGTGACCACACAGGAGGGAGAGATGAGGACATAGAACAGGGTGGTTTGCCAGGTTGTAAGGGGCCGATGTGCAGGATGGAGCTTAGATTCCTCAGCAAAGCTATTGAGGAGGAAAAATAAAATAAGGGTAGCCCGGAGCCCGAGTTTCTGAGTGGGGACCAGTGGAAAATCCAGTTAGCCAGACCTGTATCTAGGCTGTGTTCCCGTATGGACTCTAACAACACGTAATCTTCAATAAGGTTTGGATTTACCACAGCAGCGTTAGACGTGTCTCAGCCCATGGAGGAGAGAGTCCAGGCTTTGTCTGGGTTTGAACCCCCACTTTCCTAGTTACTAGCTGTGACCTTGACAAGTCACTTAACCTTCCAGCATCTATAATCACATGTGGATAGCGATTCCTACCTCCTGGGCTGTTGTGAGGGCAAAGCGAGGTCAGGGTGACCAAGCCCTCACATGAGGTAGGGCCCATGGAGCCCTGTGGCTGGGGCAGGGGTGGAGGGGGTTGTGGTTCTGAGTCAGCAGGGAGCCTGTCCGCTGAGCAGCCCTCTGCCTTCTGCACCCGCAGTGCTGCAGGGCGTGGACAATTCGCTGGTGGGTCTGCACAACCAGAGCTTCGCCCGGGTCATGGAGCAGCGCCTGGCCCAGCTGTTCATGATGTCCCAGCAGCAAGGCCGGCGGTTTAAACGGGCCACCACCCTGGGAAGCTACACCGTGCAGGTGGGTGCGCGCGAAGCCTCTGGGGTCTTCTCGTACCTGGGGGAGGGGGTGTGTGCTGCCTGAGACTAAGTCATCATGCTGCGTGCAGAGGAGCGGGGACACTGCAGACGGACCGAGCCATTTAATCAGCGCTGCTCTCAGGGTGCGGGTCAGGGGTCATAACATCAAAATAACGGGTGAGAGTTAGCTACTCTCACTACTGGATGATAAGGAAAGGAGGTTTCGGAACAAATGCTGCACGCATGCAGGTGTTTATTCAACAGACAGTTGTAAGGAAGCAGGCACAGGCTACTCAGCAACCTGTTCCGTGGACTGGGTGAAGTCCCAGCGCTCGGGACTCCCAGGCCCTCTCACCACCACCGCTGTGAATGGCAGATGCACCCATCAGCATTGCAGGTGCCGGGTTCTGTTTTCCTTATTTAGTCAGTTTGGACAAGTAGAGCCTTGCAGGCTTATAACAGCCATGTGGCCACACAGGGATTTAGGCTAAGGAGCCGTAGCAGATGCTGTTGGTGCTCTGCCCAGATCCCCTTTCCGTTTCTCTCAGTGCCAGCAGCCACCTCTGAACCTTTACGGAAGGATTGCTCTTGAGATGCAGGAACCCACCTAGCCCACACCATGGTGGCCGGAAGTGCCTGGGGATTAATTAACCAGTGGAGTTGGGGTATAAATACCCCAGCTCCCTGGTCTCTTAGCTAGGAGAATTCGGAAATGTATTCTTTCCATCACTTCCAGAGCTTTCCCACAGAATTAAGCTTTCATTACCCACTGTGGTAACTGGCTTAATAACACACCCTCTTTAACTCCTTCCCCTCGCCCCCCTCCCCCCCCTCCCTGCCATCACCTGCTCACCTTCTGCCAGTTCCTCAAATAAACTATAAACACTCAACTCTTCTGAGTCTGCTCCTCAGGACCCTAAGGGCAGACGGTAGCCATCCCCAAAGTGGGGACTGTAAGCCTCTAGATCAGCGGTTCTCAACCTGTGGGTCGCAACCCCTTTGGCAGTCGAACGACCCTTTCACAGGGGTCGCCTAAGACCATCCTGCATATCAGATATTTACATTACGATTCATAACAGTAGCAACATTACAATTATGAAGTAGCAACGAAAATAATTTTATGGTTGGGTCACAACATGAGGAACTGTATTTAAAGGGCCAGAAGGTTGAGAACCACTGCTCTAGATTCTTTACCGGGTTCAAGCAAGAGTCAGACTGTCTCTAGCGTATTCTAGCCAATCCACACGTCTTGCATAGCCCTAATTTCACCAAAGGAGAACCCATTTCTAATGTTTGTTATGCTAAGTAGCAAAACTCCATTAAGCAGGATAACACATTACAGAAGGGCACTCCCGGTAGCTGCCTCCCAGTGGAATTCCCAGTTGGAATCTAGCCCACTGCCCTGGAGTGCGAACTCCTGATTGTCAATTCACCACTCGGCAGGTGTAAGTAAACCCAAACATACATGCATGGCATCACACTGTCTATGAAGAAGCAGCGAGGAAGCGTTTGAAAGGAAGTTACAGGCATGACCACAATCTGTCTGCAGATCATGCCCCAGGCAGTCTTGTAAGTACAAAGAGCCCCTCTCCTGTGGAGTCAGCTGTGCCCCCGAGGGCGACTCCAGGCCTCTCGTTCACAGTGGGTGACTTTGGTCCCTTGTCCTGTTGGATGTGGCTTTGTTTCTAAAGGTCTCTGTGGCCTGTGACAGCCTGGTCCTGAGGTAAAGGGAGACAGTTAATTTCGCCGGTTAATTTTGCCGTGCCTGGCTGGTGATTTCCCCTCTGTGGGTTCCGTGTAAGCCCTGTAATTCACACTTCTCCAAACAGCAGAAAGGAAGTCGCTCAGAGGACAGTGACAAGGGATTTGCCTCCGCTGAAGCGGGAGGCAAATTATTTACTAATCACACCTACAATCTTGGTGTGATTAGCAAAGCTAACAATCTAACAACATTCTCTGCGTTAAAAGGGGCCCCCAGTGAGATGTGCGTCTCTCTCTTCTGAGTACCCAGTGTGCTCGGCCCCTCTAGTCGCCAGAAAGGTCTGAGCGAAGCAAGTAGGGATTGATTTCTGCAAATCCCTGATTTGCAGGGGCTGTAGATCACCTTCTAACATTACCCTTGGAGAAATCTTGCTAAGAAGGATTTGCTAATAAATTGAAATGGAGTGAAGTTATTAGATATTTGAAAGCTCATTCACCTTCTAACTGGTTGTACGGACACTCGCCCCACCTCTCCCCTGAGGGACAGGAATAACGTGCCCACGTTTCGCAAGTAACATTCATTCCACATGTAGAGACCTTCCTTTGGGGAGCTGCTTATTTTAAAAGATGAGCCACTTTCATGAATATGGAGATGTAGAGGTCTAGAATTTAAAGATATTTCTCTAGCAGGTATATTTGAAAAAGTGAATCCAAAGAAGAAATTCACTAATAAACATTTTTTTATTTTTTATTTCTTGTTAATCCTCAACCTGAAGATATTTTTTTTCCAGAGAGTGGAAGGGAAGAGAAGGAGGGGGGAGGAGGGGACAGAAACATCGATGTGAGAGAGACACATGGATTGGTTGCCTCCTGCAGACACCCTGACAGATTCGAACCTGCAACCCCGGGATGTGCCCTTTGATTGGGAATTGAACCCGCGACCCTTCCATGCACAGGCTGGCACTCTATCCACTGAGCCACACCGGCCAGGACCAAGAAACATTTTCACATGTTTGACTCCATTTGTCATGAAAGTAATGCAAGTTTTAACTACCACAAGATTACATTTTCACCTACCAAAGATCAGTGAGTGGTACTACCCAGTGTTACGGAGGATGCAAGGAAATGGGTACTTTCTAAGTGTCAGTGGGTCTGACCTTTCCGGAGGGCGAGTGAGCAATTTAGACAAGAACCTTTTAGATGGTCACGGACTTTCTCCTAGAGACTCATTTTGAAGAGAGAGGTAAACACGGAGACCAAAGGGGGAGAGCAGTGCTTTTCAGACGGTGTCCAGGAAACAGTCCCGTAAGGTGCCTTGGCAAAGGCACTCTGGCCCCGTGAGTGTGGGTAAGGCTACGTTCTGTAGCCCCTTCTTGATGAGTCCTAAGGCATATTGGCAAACCAGACACTCTAAAAGACCAGTAGCAAAGAAATCGCCTTTCCACATATTATGTGGTTTCTACATTTAAATGCCAACAAGACCCTTGTTTGGTTTTTTAAAATATATTTTTATTGATTTTTTTACAGAGAGGAAGGGAGAGGGATAGAGAGTTAGAAACATGAATGAGAAAGAAACATCGGAGCAGCTGCCTCCTGCACACTCCCTACTGGGTATGTGCCCGCAACCAAGGTACATGCCCTTGACCGGAATTGAACCTGGGACCCTTGAGTCTGCAGGCCGACGCTCTATCCACTGAGCCAAACCAGTTAGGGCAAGACCCTTGTTTTTAGTAATATCTACATTTCCACACTATTATAGAATTTTATAAAAATGGAACCCTACAATATGTTCTCTTTTGTATAAAGCTTTTTTGACTCAGTGCAGTGTTTTTGTTGTTGTTTTTAATCCTCATTCAAGGAAATTTTTTTACTGACTTTTAGAGAGAGAAGAAGGGAGGGAGGGAGAGAGAAAGAGAAACATCGATCGGTTGCTTCCCATACATGCCCTGACCAGGGACCAAACCTACAATGTAGGGATGTGCCCTGACCCGGAATTAAACCCATAACCTTTTGGTGTACAGGATGGCACTCCAACCAACTGAGTCACTGGCCAGGACTCAGCGTAGTATTTATGAGATTCATCCATATTGTTGCTTATTTGGAAGTTTATTTTTGTTATTGTATGAATATACTACAGTTTACTCATTCTTTTGTTGATGGATACCAGGGCTTTTTCCAATTTTTAGCTTTTATAAACAAAGCTACCATGTTCATTCTTCTACAGGTCTTTCTCTGGCCATGTGCTTTCATTTCTCTTAGGTATATAATAGGAGTTGAATTGCTGGTTCGTGGGTTGGTGGATGTTCATTCTGTAAGAAACTGCCCCATCCTTTCCCGAAGTGTACCGTTTTATACTCCCACCAGCCAGATGTGGAGTTCCAGTCACTCCACATTCCCATCAGCACTTCTCCTTTTAGCCATTCTGGGGGGTGATAGTGGTGCCTCAGGGCTTAAATTGAATTTCTCTACTGAGCATTTTTTTATATGCTCATTGTCTACCTTGCTTTGTGAACTGTCCGGTCAGAGTTTTTTAAACCCATTTTAATTGGGTTGTTGTAATATCTATTTTTTTAAAATATATTTTATTGATTTTTTGCAGAGAGGAAGGGAGAGCTATAAAGAGTCAGAAACATCAATGAGAGAGAAACATCGATCAGCTGCCTCCTGCACATCTCCCACTGGGGATGTACTCGCAACCCAGGTACATGCCCCTGACCGGAATTGAACCTGGGACCTTTCAGTCCGCAGGCTGACGCTCTATCCACTGAGCCAAACCGGTTTCGGCAGTAATATCTATTTTTAATTGTTATAAATAGCATATATACCAAGGGGTATAAAAACATGTAGAGTTTAAAGACCACTAATAAAAAGAACCACGACTCAAAGGATGAGAACATTATTCTTAACTTACCAGAGGAGCTTTTTATGTGTCTTCTTTTACTGTACACATTTCCTTTCTTCTATCAGAATTGAATGTGCCTGTATTTTCTGTATACATTTTACCAATCACGTGTATCCCTAGACAGTACGTCATTTGGTTTTGCCTGTTTTTAAATTTTATATTCTGTGATTTGTTTTTTGTTTTGGGTGTGTGTGTATGTGTTTTGTTTTGTTTTTGCTCAATGTCAGACTTTTGTATTCAGCCAAATTGATGCAAATAGCCAGAGTTCATTTATACTACCCTATAACATTTCATTATGTGACTATACCATACTAGAATAGTAGAATAGTAGACTACCCATTCTATTAGTGAATTTTGACTTTTTAGTGTTTTTGCTCTTAACAATGCTGTTGTAAACATTTTTTTGTAATATCTTTCAATATCCTGTAAAACTCATAATCTGTAACATATACTTTGGAAAGACACTATACTGTACCATAATGTCTATTAGTTGTTAATTATAATAGTGAAAAGTTGGTAGCAACCTAAGTGTTCAAAATGGAGTTTAGTTAACGTGTATGAGGCATGCATACAGTAGAACATTATGTCAGTATTAAAATGTATGCTTTAGGTATTTGCAGTGATTTCCAGTTGTTAATTACAGTGCTGAAAAATGAGTAACAATTTAAGTGTTTAACAATAAAGGATTTGCTAAATAAATGTATGAGGTCTGAGTTAGAATGTAGGAATTGACATTTATGCTTTTGTTATATTTAAGGTCATTTAAAGATACAAGTAAAAATTGCAGTATGTTATACTATAGAGAGAGTGCTATAAATAATTTTGTAAAATAATAAATAAGAGGTTTGTGTGGGAGAAAACAAAGAATAGAAGCAAATACTCCAAAATGAAAATAGTCATTAGCTTATGGTGGAGGGAGTACAGATTGTTTTTATTTTGTTTTATTTCTTGATGCTTTTCTGAATTTTCAGATTTTCTGTAGGGAATATGTGTAACTTGTATCGTGGGAAAAAGCAACAAAGGTTATTTTAGAAAAAGAACTTTGAGTCTCCAGGTACTGCTTTTATCATCGGACTTTTGAATTGCAGACATATAAGTTCATTCCCCACCCCTCTCTAGCAATTGCAGGAATTTGTTTTTTTGTTTTTTGTCTTTTTTTCCCCCCAACTCTTTTATTTTTTCAAGAAAAATGATTTTAAGTGTAATAATGTTAAATGCAATAAACATTAATGTTTCAAGAAAAACTTTTAAATATAATAATGTTACTTGCAATAAACCTTAGTATTTCAAGAAAAACGATTTTAAATATAATTATATTACATGCAATAAAAATTAATATTTCAAGAAAGAAGGATTTTAAATATAATAATATTACCAAAACTGTACAACCATAGTATAATTTTGCAGGAATTAGAAATCTTGCTTGAGAATAACCTGACGTGCCCTGAATTAATGTGCAGGCCTATTTTTAAATGAGGCCAGCGTTCTCTGGAGGCTGGAAGACATCTCCATTTCAGCGTTTTCTTCTGCAGCCTCAAACTGTGCTGCCCAGATGTTCATATTTCCTCCTCCCTGTCTCCCCCGCCAGCGACAGCAGGGCTTCTTACGGGTTTGGTGATAGGGAGGTACATTAAGGTTGATGTCTGAAATGTACACTGGGTCCACTTGGCCACGGAAGGCTTCAGCAGCCAGGAGAGAGCCTACCGATTGCCCGAGGGATTGCAGGGTCTGTGCAAGATGCCCTATAAACATGGCCTCTTTTTTCCTGAAAGATGGTGAAGATGCAGCGGGTGCCGGGACCCAAGGACCCAGCGGAGCTGACTTACTACACCCTGTACAACGGGAAGCCTTTGCTGGGGACTGCGGCTGCCAAGATCCTGAGCACCATTGACTCCCAAAGGATGGCCTTGACCTTGCATCACGTTGTCCTCCTGCAAGCTGACCGTAAGGGGATAGTCTTTCCATTCATTATTTTTAACGCCATGAAATGTTTCCTGCAAATGAAAGTGATTCCCTAAGCTCCTGTTAATGGACCCAGAGAGAAACATTTCTGTACTAGAAGCTTTTTAAATCAATCAGCTGTGTTTGAAGCAATAGGTTTTGGGTAAGGGATATGTTTTCAATATTAGAACAATAGTAATGATATTGCTACACCCAGATTCTACCCGCTCTTCCCCCTCAGTGAATAGCTAGAGAAATCACCGTAGCTGAGATCATAGTTGTCCGCTGGGGAATTGAAGATAATTTGGTTCACTAAGTATCTGTAGAGTCCTACGTGAACTGCCTTGGTGCTGGAAGACATACAGAAATGGCCAAGAGCTGGGCCCTGCCTTTAAGGAGCAGAGAGGGAGCTAATGCAGGATACAAAGGCGTGGACTGCAGGGAAGTGCTACAAGGGGGCAGTGTGATGCTGGCGTCAACCCAGGGAGGTTCGCTCTGAAGGGGCATCTGAAAAGAGTGAACAGAGAAGGGAAATTAAAAATAATAGCTGCCTCTTTGAATACCTTCCCCTGTGGCAGCTGCTATTTTCTTTTTAAATATATTTTTATTGATTTCAGAGAGGAAGGGAGAGGGAGAGAGAGATAGAAACATCAAGGATGAGAGAAAATCATTGCTCAGCTGCTCCCTGCAGGCCCCCTACTAGGGATTGAGCCCGCAACCCAGGCGTGTGCCCTTGACCTGAATCCAACCCGGGGCCCTTTAGTCCACAGGCCTACGCTCTATCCACTGAGCCAAACCGTCTAAGGTGCAGCTGCTATTTTCATTGCTTTATATAGACTTTCTCACTTTTTCCTCTCATTGGGGCAACTTTATTCAGCTGCAAATTACAGATGAGGAAACCGAGGCTCGGAAAATTAACTAACTTGGTCAGTACTGCAGAACTAGTACCGTGGGGCCCTTTAGTCCAGAGGCCTATGCTCTATCCACTGAGCCAAACCGTCTAAGGTGCAGCTGCTATTTTCATTGCTTTATATAGACTTTCTCACTTTTTCCTCTCATTGGGGCAACTTTATTCAGCTGCAAATTACAGATGAGGAAACCGAGGCTCGGAAAATTAACTAACTTGGTCAGTACTGCAGAACTAGTACCGAGGTCGCCAAGATACGAACCTGTCTGACTGCAAACGTGTTCTTAGCTGTAGCACACGCTAAGATTTCAGCAGAGAGAGGGGAAGGGTGTATTTTCCAGAAAGAGGGAGCAGCATGAGAGAAAGAATGGAAGTGAAAAGCACCAGGTGTGCTTGAAAAGCAAGGAGTTCAAATAGCCCGGAGTGCAGAAACCCGAGGAGGAGTTGATGGGCTTGGAGATATGTATTGCTTCAGAGTCTGGCCTTGGTGGGAGGGGAAGGAGACTGTACATAATACGATTCATTTACTGGAGATTTTTATCTGGCTCGCTGTCTCTTCTGCATCACTTCTCCTGTCCTAGTCCATCCTCTACTCTGACCTGTCAGTGCTGTGGCCTCTTCACTTCTGTTGAAGGCCTGGGGAAGGGGCAGAAAAGTGAGAGCTGGTTTTATGTACAGCAAGAGGTGAATGGACTGTCAGGGGGAGTGGTTGAGGCTGAGGGGACTTGGCTGATGGCGGTTGAAGGGGAACAGTGGAAGGTATGAGAGCACAGGTGGGAGAGAGATCGTATCAGAGAAGATGCATGGAGCCTTTTGGAAGTGAGAGTCCAGGGGCCATCTAGGGGACTGCCCAGAGGTGTGGCTACGACTCCAAGAGCCAGACTCCAGACCCTGTTAGCCTGGCTCCAAAGCTGCTGTCCCTCAGCCTTGCTTCTTTGTCTCCGAGTCCACGTGGTCCTCTCAGTTCCCTTCTACCATGATTCACAGTCTTCGCTCCTTTTCTCTGTTTCATAGTTATGTCCTCTCGGACTTCGCAGGTGCTTCCCAAATAACTCAGCCTCAGTCACTTTGTCATTAATGCACCGTCCATACCGCAATTAGAATCACTATCTATACTTTGGGAAACACAGATTCTGATCTTACATCTACTCCATTAAAAGGTGTATATCGGATGGGTCTTCGCTGTTCACAGAATGAAATCCAGACCCTGTAACAGGGGTCTCCCAAGCCCTTCACAGCAGGCACTCCGCCAATGTTCAGCTCACTTCCCAACCTGGTCTCCGGGCTGCTTTTCCAGCTGTACCGCCTACTTTTCTCTCCTTCCTGCCTAATGCTTCAGCCACACAGGAGGATTCATCCCTCACTTTCCCTGTTCCTCTGAAGCCTTCCTTGACCCCTGAAGCAGAGCCCACTTCCCCCAGTCCTTCTTCGTTCCAGGGGCTTCCATTGCCCTCATCATATTGAGCAAACGAGTTGTTGCCGCTCTCTCCCTCTTGAGCCCTTTAAAAGCAGTTGCCACATCTCATTTATCTTTGGACATCCAGCCCCAACATCTGTCTGGCTTTGTTCTTGTGAAGGCAAAAGACCAACCTTTGCTAAATGCCTGTGCCAGGCCCCGAGGGAGGCACACAGTTGGAAGAAACCAGCGCAGAGCAGTTGAGAGCAGAGACTTTGCACTAAGACAGACCTGGATTCACCCCACCCCCTGCTCTTCCACTTTGTAGCTATGGAGCTCAGAGACCAATGAATGACCTTCCCTGACCTTCATTTTCCTCATCTGTAAAGTGGTAATATAAAAATCAGACCTAGTAGAAATACTCAGAGGACTAAAGGAGAGAATTATTGCATGGAAAGGGCTTAGTACATTCCTGGGGCACCTACTAAGCATTTACTCAGTGGTGGGTGAATGTCTCATTTATCCACAAGGTAGAAGGACTAAAGGAGAGAGGGAATGAAGACGGAAAGGTGATTTGAAGGTTAAGAACCCATATAGTAATTCATGGAATAGGGTGCTAGTAATGAAAGTAGAAAGGGAATTGGAGAGGAAAGGCATTTTTAAAAGGGTGAAGTAATTTATTCTGTCTGGGCCACGTTGAGTTTAAAGTAATGAGATATTAAGGGGTGCTTTGAGGATATCTAGGAGGTGCTGATAAAATATTGAGGGGGTATTGATGGGATATTGACTGCTGAAGTTAAGAAAGTTGGAATTCAAGCCTGGATCTCAGGAGAGAGGTTAAAATTAACACTAGATTTTGAGACTGTCCCAGATACAGGATAGAGTTAAAATCCCAGAGACAATCCGAGTCCATGGGGAGAGAGATAGCTAGAGGACAGACCCTGGGAAATGCCTCCATGCCCAGGATTGGATGAGGAAGAAGCTGAGGCCAGTGAAGAAGAGAGGAACAGAGATGTTTTAAATCCAATTTTCTCCTAATGGTTTTGAAACCAGCCTGCAATGTGAATCTGAGGTCAGCACTTTGAATAGTCACAGTGTTGAATGAACACCTTGTCCCTCTGAGGGGGGTGTTAACATTCTGTTCCAGTGTCTTCTTTTTTTTTATTTAATTTTTTGCCATCACCATTTATCCCCTCTATGCCCTGGTATACCTGCCCCCTCCCCACACCACTATCACCACTCCCCAGTCACCACACCATTGTGGTTGGAGCATTGGCCCGCCCAACAAAGGGTCATGGGCCTGATTCCCGGTTAATGGGCATGTACCTGGTTTGCAGGTTCTGTCCCAGGTCCCAGTCTGGGCCCGTGCAGGTGGCAACCAATCGATGTGTCTCTCTCAGATCAATGTTACTCTCTCTCACTCCTTTCCCCTCTCCCTTATCTCTTCTGCTCTCTCTAAAAATCAATGGAAAAATACCCTCCGGTGAGAATTAACAAATAATAAAATAAAATAAATGGCCAGTTCTGGGTCAGTGTGCAGTGCCCTTCAGTGGAGCGTGCAGTGACACTCGACCCCCATCACCTCTAGGTAATGAGGCAGCAGTGAATTCTAAAGAAGCGGCTGCGTTTCCTATGAAGGTTTCCATCTGCTCCCTGTGCAGGATCTGGAGTGAGAGGCCTTCATAGTGGTTATCTAGCTGATGGAGTAGAAAAGATTCTCCCCACACAGACCCAGACCAGAGCAGGAACGGGTTTATCTTACAGGACCATCAGGCATTTATCCCAAAAACGTCATTTACAGAAAGCAAGGGACTCATGATCATTCATTTTTCAACAAATTCATTTTTTAGGCGCCTGTTATGTGCCTGGAACTGTCCTAGGCACTGGAGATGCAGCAATGAATGACACAGACAAAATCCAACCACGTGGAGCTCACATTCCTGAGTGGGCAGATCAAGTAAACAAAACACATAATATGCTAGATGCTAATAAGTGCCATGGAGAAAAATTAAGCAGGGAAAGGCTAGGGGATGTCCAGGAGATAATGGTTGTGATTTTAAATTGTTGGGGGGAGGGTGTCACGAAGAGGATCACTGAAGTAGTAACTTTGGAGTGACCACCTGAGGATATCTGGGGTCAAGGTTCCAGGCAGAGGGGAGGGTGTGAGACCAGCCAGGAGTCACTGAGGGAAGCAGCAGTGAGGCCAGAGGCCCCCATGAGCCTCATGGGCCACACCCCGAGTGGAATGACAGCCGTGGGGTGGTTTGGGCAGGAGAGCAATGTGGGCGGAGCGCTCACAGCTGCTGGGCCCTGGGCTCGGCCCTCCTCCCCACCCACTCACACCAGTCACGAGCTTTCACAGCCACAAAAAAATGAGCAGGAAACGTTTTTGAATAGATTTCTTCCCCTTTCAACATTTGTTCCATGTAAGAATAATTTATTTTTAGTTTAGATTATGTGGATCCTTTGACCTCATTCTTTCTGACAAATACGTGTGTGTGTGTGTGTGTGTGAACTCAGAACTGACTTCAACTGTGTATTTCATGGAAATGATTTTTCATAAAAGCACCTCACCCTTTGGGACTCAGTTTGCTCACCTGCAAGTTGGGGATAAGAAGAGCCCCAGGCAAAGGTCCTATCACAGTGCCTACCGCACAGGAGAGGCTCAGAACATTGTCTCCTTTTCCTGCCCTTCTCTACTGCAGTTCTTGGAAGTTAAATAACCATTTGTTTCTTTTCACCTCTGTACATGACTTTGTAGTTCTAGATCATCTTGCCAATGAATATATTGTGTTTGGATGACTTCAGTTGACCTCACTTTACTGTCTCTTTGACTGTTAAATCAATTTATTAATGTACATAAGATAAATCAATTCTCTCCTCATTTAAATAGAGGTGAAAGGATTCTACAGACTGCTCTGAGAAGGAACGTATCCACCAAAACCATAAAGCTGAGTAAGAGCAGAACACATGTCAATATTTCATTCCTGCTAATGAAAAAAATTAGATGTATGTTTAGCGTATCATGTTCTACTGCACTCTACATTTTCCTTTATCGGGATAGAATAGCACAGCCCCAAAAGAGGCATATTGGTATTTTTCACAGTAGGTCTAAGCTTTAAAAAACGTTGAAGGCATAAAACTATAAATACCAAATTACTAAAAGCAGCAGCAATTAAATGTTTAATGTCAACAGAAGCACATTATCTAATGAGCTGTTTTCAGAAGTTAATAATGTGATTAATCACCGATTGACAGAAACTGGGGAAAAGAAGTTCTTTTGCACTAACAGCACTTCAGACCTAAGTGCTGCCTGGTGAGAGGCAGATCTTGGCTGTCACGACACCAGTTGAAGTCAGGGGGTGGTTGCAGTCAGAGAGACAGGCGGGCTGGCTCCCCGGGCAGGTCCTCACCATGGGGCACTTACCGGCGGGTCTTTATATTCCAGAGTCTGGTCCTCAGCTCTGCCAGTCTAGTTCAGCAGGATCAGGAGGGTCAACTCATGCTAACCAGACTTGCCAAGAAATTGATGTATAAACCAGATTGGCAGTATGTCTATTTAAAATATGGATTAGAACTATCAAGGAGGGGGTATTTCTCCTTTTAACTGCCCATTACTCTATCCTGTATGAAAATCTGCATGGGAAGCCAAATTGCAACAGGGGTAAAGGTAATTCATTTAGATTGTCATTCAACTTTAATATCCTCCTATCTAATAATAGACAAACATGGTAATTGACTATACCATCGCTATGCCTCCCATTGGCTAATCAGCGTGATATGCAAATTAACCACCAACAAAGATGGCGGCTAATTTGCATACTGCAGGCAGGGTGTGACAGTGCCATCCCGCCTGCCCTGCCGCCATCCAGGCCTGCTATTTGCCACTCGGGGCGGTGGGGGCGGGACAGTGCCATCCTGCCTGCCCTGCCGCCATCTGGGCCTGCTATCTGCGACCCGGGGTGGCGGGCGTCCTGTGTGCGATATGACCTGGGGTGGCCGGGCGGGGCAGCAGCAATTGGCCGGCCTGTCCGAGTGTCTCGGGTGTGACCCGACCCAGAGCAGCAGGGCGGGACAGTGTGGCTCCTGTATCACCCCAGCTTCCTCATCACAACTCCCTTGGGGGCCTAAGCCTTTAGTTGGACATCCCCTGAGGGCTCCCTGGCTGCCAGAAGGATGTCTGACTGCAAGATTAGGCCTGATCCCCCGGAGAGTGGGCCTAAATCGACAGGTGGACATCCCCCAAGGGGTTCTGGACTGCAAATGGGCGCAGGCCAGGCTGAGGGACCTCCCTCCCCCCGAGTGCACAAAATTTTGTGCACCGGGCCTCTAGTGTTTTCATATGTCTCTTGGCCTTCCTTATGTCGCCTGGGTCCCAGGTGCCGGAGGAAAACCGGTGCCAGCAGCCAGGGGAAGGGAAAGCCTATTGCACAAATCTTTTCGTGCAACAGGCCTCTAGTATGTATGTGTGTGTGTGTGTGTGTGTGTGTGTGTGTGTGTGTATATATTGATTTCAGAGAGAAGAAGGGAGAAGGAGAGAGAGATAGAAACTTCAGTGATGAGAGAGAATCATTGATCGGCTGCCTCTGCGTGCACCCTACTGGGATCGAGCCCACAACCCGGGCATGTGCCCTGACCAGGAATTGAACCCTAACCTCCTGGTTCATAGTTGACGCTCAACCACTAAGCCACACCAGCCGGGCCAGCCGGATCCTTTTGACTAGACGGAAGCATTTCCAAGTTTCCCCAGCCAGCCATTTGGGAAGGTGGAAGGGAGGTTTCCACTGGTTACACTTTAATCATTGCTCACTCAGAGGGTGAGTTCACAACAATATTTAGAGTCCTCTCTCTGTGGCCTTTGCCTTCTGATTCCAGCACTACTCTAATGCTTAGCAGATTTATTCTCTCTTCTCTTTTGATTCATGGACATCACCAATGAGGAAAATTGACATGTCTCCATCTTCCTCCTCCTCCTAGTCATAGTGAAGGCTAGCATTTTATTGAGCAGCTACCAAAGCACCACGTGTCTCGTCTCACTGACGCCTCTCAATGTGATAGCCCCATTTTACAGATGAGGAAACTGAGACTCAGAGATCTTGAGTCACTTGCCCAAGGCAAGAGTCTTTCTGATCCCAAATCCTCTTAACCATCCCAAGCCTTGGGACTGGGGGGTGGAGGGAGATTTCTCTCCGGTGGCCTTCCCCTTCCCATTGCTCCTTGTCATGAGCTTCCTGTGGCTCTTCCCCGCAGCCGTGGTGAAGAACCCACCCAACAACCTGTGGATCATCGCCGCGGTGCTGGCGCCCATCGCCGTGGTCACGGTCATCATCATCATCATCACTGCCGTGCTCTGCCGGAAGAACAAGAACGACTTCAAGCCAGACGCCGTGATGAACCTGCCTCAGAGAGCAAAGGTACGTGGTGGCAGCGGGGAGGAGGGGAGCAGGAGCCCGGCCTGCAGGGCGGCTCCGCCTGTCTTCCCTCTCTTGGCTTTGGAGACATTGAAGTACCTTCAGAAACATCCTAACAAGCCCTGCTTTTGAAGAAGACCCTTTATTCATTAATTTATGTGTTTTAATGTTTAAAAAATTATGGGAAAATGTATATAACTAAATTTACCATTGTGACCATTTTTAAGCGTTGGTAAGTAGAGTTACTTTATTGCACACCCTTTAATTTTATAATCAGGACATGATAGCTAATGCTTATCTCCCGCTCACTCTTCGCCAAGTGCTATACGTAGAGCAGCTAATCCTCACAGCAATCCTAGCAGAAGGGCCCTTGTTTTACAGAGGAGGAAACTGAGGCACAGAAATCTGGGTAGACCTCATCTCTGACACCCTCTTTTTACAAAGATGTGACTCCTTCAAGATCGCACAGTTAGTACATAGCAGAACTGATAGAATTAGGTCTCTTGGCTCATAAGACAGGGCTCTTTGGGGCACCTTAGACCCTCAAAATATTCCTTCTTCCTTTGGCCAGAGTGGCTTATCCTCAGAGGCTGCCATGATGGGCAAGCTGCAGAGCCTCGGCCAGTCCGCCGTCAAACTCCAGTGGCTCCAGTGAAGCCTGGCCAGGAGCCCCATCCACTCTGCTGACTGGGAGGGAAGTGGACGGAGGAAATTCCAAAGGCTAATTTTCCAGTCACGTAGCTCCCTCCATGATATTCTGTAAAGGAAATATAATAACCTCCAATACCCGATGTTTAAGTAATGTCTTACAATTTGTGGGGCTCTTCTAGGTCTGTCACCTCACTTGCTCATCACAGCAACCTTGTGAGGTAGGTGGTAGTCAGGGAAGGTTTTATTTTATTGCTAAAGAGAGACTGTGGGGGCCCAGCCAGTGTGGCTCAGTGGTTGAGTGTCGACCTATGAACCAGGAGGTCACAGTTTGATTCCCGGTCGGGGCACATGCCTGGGTTGCAGGCTCGATCCCCAGTGTGGGGCGTGCAGGAGGCAGCCAATCAGTGATTTTCTCTCATCATCGATGTTTCCATTTCTCTCTCCCTTTTCCTTCCTCTCTGATTTATTTTAACTGAGGGACTTGTTCAAAGTCACATAACTCTCAGCAGAGGGGCGACTGGGGCCCATGTCTGAGTCTTTGGGCTCTTTTACTTTATACGTCTCTCTGAACCCTGGGCTTTGGCAGGTAGAATCCCCTTCCAGCTCTGAGCTTCCGAGCTTTGTCCATCGGCGCAGGAATGAAGCGGTGAATGGAATTGCATATCCATTGGAATGCATGTCATGGAGATCATTCTTGCTGGGTGATCAACCCTCACTTCAGGCAAAGAAATCAAATGAATTTGATTGTTTATTAAACCAATTCACTTGTTGAGAAGCTGCAGCCTGAGCAGACGCCCTGATACGGAAGAGCCAAACCCCGAAGAATGTTGTTCTGATTCTGTTGACAGAAAGCAAGCTGCTTCCCAGATGCATCACGATGTTGGTAACGATCCAAGCAGTGAAAATTGAAACTGTTCCAAGTAGGGGTACTTCATTTCCATCGGAGCTTACTTACAACCTGAGCCTCTCAGACACAGCAGTAATCACCAGAATGTAATTGCAGCCCAGTCCAGGGATGCAAAACGTGCCACACTGAGGTCGTAAATGCCACCTTTGTGTTATAGGTGAAGCCAACATTTTATTAATTTGCCAAGATGAGTTGGCCGGCACATGATTTCAGCATACCTTCTGACTTGCAAGCCACCTGAAGTTGGAACAGATTAATGTTTGTGGGTTCTCGTAGCCCCTTTTTATGTTCCTACCCGGTCATTGTGCTGATGTTGAAAGTCGGGCAACTCTGTGTTGCACGAGACGATTGAATTCACCTGTGTGTGGTGATGCTGGTTGTTTTCTCCCTCAATGAGGCTGGACTGTGTACCTTGATTGCCGAAGCCCTTTGATCACGGGGAACCAGGGGGTGGAAATCTTTCTTACCGCATCCTTTTGCCCTTGCGACCCAGCGACACTGCAGTGTTTGCGAGAGGGGAGCCACCTGCATCACTTCTCATGCCCCGTGTGTGAGCAGAATGCACTGAATGCCAAGGGACGGGGTGGAATGAGAAAGTTAGCCCTTGCCACCAATCCATAGGCCAGGAGGGTGGTCTCCCAGTCTCCTGGACATCACTGCGTCTTTAGAATGCAGGCCACAGTGCCAGAGGGCACTGGGGATCTGGCTGAGACTCAGTGATAGACTTAACACGCTAACAGGAGGTGATATGGCTGTCCTGGGCGCTAAGGCCAGGGTGTGAGGCCCGTATCCTTCAGAGACAGACCCGTCACCATTGTTGTCAACTGGGCTTTGCAGGTAGAATGTTGAGAGGATGATAAACGCAGGAGGGCCAGGCAGTCACCTCCTTTCTTCCTCGCTCCCTTCTCTTTACTCTTTGTCATTGAGTTCACAGCCTTTTCCCAGTCGTTCTCTTCATATACTTGAAGGGAACATGGCTCTGAGGGACAGGTAACTTAGGAGACTCTAGTCAGGGCCGTATCTGGGTGTACATGGAGCTCGGGGGGCCTGCAGTGGTTGGCATGGCCATCTGCTCAGGTGAGGTCAGTCACCCCCAAAGATGCCCAGCTGTTTCCCCGCTCTCACATACTCTCTGTATGACCTGTACTTAACCTCTTTGTGCCCCAGTTTCCCCATCTGTGGAAGGAGGATGGTAGGTGGTTGTGAGGATTGAGTTATGTAAATTACTTGGAGCTGCGCCTGGTATATAATAAATATTATGTACAAGTTGGCTTTTATTATTACAGTGCTTTCCTCTTAAGATATCTGGGTAACGCGTCTACTTTTGAAATTGTTAGAGATAATTTGATTTGGTAGTTTTATAAAATTCAATGACGTAACTATAAAGACTTCATGATGATGCGTTAAAGGGATTGGGGATCGCTAGTTGTATCTAATGGGGAATTCATCTCGGGCAGTTTCTTTGTTGGAGGTTGAAAGATCACTACCCTGTCAGTCAGAAGAGTAAGGGACTAGGAGTCTTTCACCACTTAGCTTGTGATCTTGGGCAAGTCACTGAACCTCTTTAAGCTTTTATTTTCTTACGTGTAAAATGAAGACTGTGATGTTTGCCCTGCTTACCTCATGGGACTCTGTGAGGACAAAGTGAGGTGTCAGCGTTTTGCAGGCTCTAAGTACTGAACATATGCAGGGGCTGTTATTAACCTAATAACTATGACCACCTCTTGTCATTCCTTAATGTCTTTATTTCTGCTTACCTGTTATCAGCCCAGGCTCCTGAAGTATCCAGCGGGGAACTTCAGCCCAACGTGAAGGGTGAGGAGCCAAATCCAGAGAGAGGTGGGGGTAGGGGGAGAGGGCCAGAGACAGCTTGTCTTCCTCACTTGTTCTTGGGAAGTCTTGGCTGCCATTGGAGACGCCCAGCTACTCACTGACATGCCAGGAGTCTCAGCACAGAAGCAAGGCCAAGTACAGTAGGAGATGTCCCAGCAGGGAACTTCAGCCCAACGTGAAGGGTGAGGAGCCAAATCCAGAGAGAGGTGGGGGTAGGGGGAGAGGGCCAGAGACAGCTTGTCTTCCTCACTTGTTCTTGGGAAGTCTTGGCTGCCATTGGAGACGCCCAGCTACTCACTGACATGCCAGGAGTCTCAGCACAGAAGCAAGGCCAAGTACAGTAGGAGATGCCCAACCAAGATAGCAGGCAGCAGAAGGAAAGGAGAGGCCATGGGAAGAATCATCAGCAGTGGTTAGGTATTTGGGCTCTGGCTCCACAGACCAGCTGTGTGAGCGTGGGTAGTTGCTTAACCTCTCTGAACCTCAGTTTCTTCATCTTTAAAATAAGGAATCATAAGAATACCTACCTCTTTGAACTGTGGTGAGAATAAATGACAAGTTTATGTAATGTGTTTGGTACTGTACCAGTAATAGCAAGTGAAGCTGCAACTGTGAAGTTCTTGAGGGTAGGGGGACAGTTATTATTCATCTTTCTATCTCCAGCAGCAAGCACAACCCCTGGCACAAGCCACTGCTAAATAACTATAGTTGGGACAAAATCAAATAAGATAATGGGGGGGAGTGGGGGAGTATTGCAGAAAAGGGGCCAGCAGGAGATGAGGCTGGGCAGGTGGGTTCAGCCAGAATGGGAAGGGCCTTGAATGCCTTGTCGTAGAGATTAGGTGCCATGAATCATTGTTAATGACCTGATGTGGTTTAAGGGAAATAACTTTGGAGGTGTGTTAAGGGCAGGCCGGCAAAGGAGCAGAATGGAAGTGTTGAGACCAAGGCAGGAGTCAGTAAGACAGTGGACTTGGAGAGCAAAGGTCAGCTTCTAGAAACATTTCAGTTGAATGCAATTGGTGACCAGTTGGTTGTAAGAGCTTCTAAGAACACTGTCAGTCATCCAAAAGCTCCATTCTGTTTCATGTGTTCCCACGGATGGGGAGGGAAATGAGTAGACAAACACTCGTGCAGAAACATTCCCACATCCTGGCAGAGAATGTCAGTGGCTTGTCAAGGGCGGGCTACATGGGTCAGAGTGTGAGTGTCTCAGAGAAGAGGGAGGGGTGAGCACACTGCCCAGAGAGACTGTCCCAGGGAATTGGGGGAACTGTCTGTGGCAAAACTATAGACAGCTTAAAATAAGGAAGCTTTGCTGGGCTTAGCAATAAAACTCCCTTCTGTTCTGAGATTCGGTTGCAAGATTTGACCAGTTGGGCCACAGTCCTAGAATATTAAATCTAGCTGGAGCCTTCCTGTTTTATTTCTCAGCTAAATTAGATGCTGACGGAAGAGCTTCTGACCAAATCAAGTTCTGTTAGAACTCAAATGGTGGAGATTGAGTTTCACCCCCACATTTTCATGAAGAGAATCACTGATGTCCATTCCATCTGGGCTAAGATTTAGTAGCAAGGCAAACAATATTGGCTAATATTGATTGAGCACGTACTGTGTGCCAGGCACTTAGCTAAATGCCGGACTTAAATTTACTTATTTAATCCACACCGCATCCCTTTGAGGGTGGTTGCATATCACTCTCACACCCAGACACATTTTACACTATTACTGTCTCCATTTTACCAACGAGGAAATGATGTGCAGGGAATCTCAGTTACTTACCCAAGGTCACCCAACTAATAGGTGGCAGAGTTGGGATTTAAACCCAGGCATTCTGCTTTCGGAGCTGTTGCTACTAACCACCCCATTGTCCTGCTTCCAATGTGTATTGTGCTCCTTTGGAGCATAAAGCAGGACGGAGACACTCCCAGGAATTGTTTTAACAGGCCTCTTGGCTTTTTATTAGCGCACTAATAGATGTGTGTTGGGTTTTGCTCACAGCTGCCCTATTCACTTGGGCTTTCAGACATTGTGCAGTAAAAGCCTTGCTAATGTCTCCGTAGCAAATGGTAGGACAGCCAACTTGCTTTAGGCAGTGCTCTGGATTAAATAGTGATTCCGTAAATGCCACATGGTGGCATGTTTCTCTCCCTCTGTTTTCAGATCTGTGATTCATTCCCCTTTAATACTGAAGCGTGGTGGAGGTGAAGCAGATAGGATCATCTTCATTTCTCAGATGAGAAAATTGATGTTCAAAGTTCAAGTTACTTGGCAAGTCAAGTGACTTCAAGTCACACACCTTTTATTGTACGGGAGTTAAGGGATGATGGAATATTCCTAGGTAGGAGATGACAGGACTTGTTTAACGTATCAATGAAGAATTTCTAATTAGTCATCTCCAGAGACTTAAAATTAGTGGCCTAAAAATCCTTAAATGAAGTGTGTTCCCACACACGTTATTTGCATCTTGTTTACACTATTCATTTTTCTGAGTAAGTCTTACATAGAGATTCTGAAGCTTGGTGGAATCCACACGGACTCTGATTTTGCAAAGACAAATTATGATGGAGATGACGGAACTCCTGTTGATTGGAAAGCTAAGTAGGGTCCTGACACATGCACTTTCCCGCCCAACTTCTCCTAAAGCCGCTGTTAGAGTCACCCTTTACCAGAAATGTGACTGCAGATCTGTTTCCTCTTTGCAGCCTGTGCAAGGCTTTGATTATGCCAAACAGCACCTGGGCCAGCAAGGGGCGGACGAGGAGGTCATCCCCGTGACGCAGGAGACGGTGGTCCTCCCGCTCCCTGTCAGAGATGCTCCTGCCTCGCAGGAAAGGGACGTCGCCCAGGATGGAAGCACCATCAAGACAGCCAAGTCCACCGAAACCAGGAAGAGGTAGGCAAGGGGCCAACTTTGGCCTCTCCGTGTCAACAAGAGAAATAATGGATGGTGAGAGGAACCAAAGCCCTCAAGTGAATCCCACTGTCCTCTTTACAAATTCCCCTTCACGCTCATTTAGAATATTTGAAAAGGAGACTGAAGGAGCTGAGGAGAATCATAATACCTGCTTCTCCTGAGCCACCCTTTGTAAGGTTTTGTATTGCAGATCAACCAGGACAGCAGAGCTTTAGCTCTTACATGTATTATAATGAATTTGGCACTGATGTCACCCTTACACGTTTTAACTTACGGTAAAAGCAGTTGCTTCGATTTAGCATGCGTAGTTGTAGTTTATCTGGCAGTTTCTCCGTGGTTTATGATTTCAGTTCAAGACCATTTATTGAGATTTCACTATGAAGAGAGTTCATTGACATGCATTGGGAGGACTACAAAGAGGTTTACGATTGATCCCTGACCCCAAGAATCTTGTGATGGAGAGACAGAGAGATAAATAGCTGGAATGCAAGCATGATCTGCAGAAGCCCACCGTGGAGTCTGAACAAAGTGCTGTGGAAAAGAGAGGAGGAAGAACTTAATCCTGATGAGGGAGGGCATCGTGGAGGAGGTTGTGTTTTAGCTGGGCCTTGAAGGGTGTGTGGAGTGTCAATAGGTGGAAAGAGATGAAGGCATCCAGGAGAGATAAGGCACAGCCATGTTCACTTAATGGTGAGTTTCCTTGAGTTTAGAGTTCATGGGGGCCGGGATGTAGTGAAGGATGAAACCAGAAGACAGATTAAAATTGTAGATGGTTTTAATTTGTGCTCTAGCCAATGGGAAGCCACGGAAAGTTCTTCAGGACGACAGTAATGTCCAGCCTAAAAGATGACTCAGGTGGTAATGTGGAAAGATGGAAGGGAGAGTTAGGCTAGAGGCCAGGAGACTCACTAGAAGGACTTTGCAATCGCCTTGTAAAGAGGTAATGAACCCTAAGGCAAGCCCTGTTGGCTGGCTTAACTAACTCCCATTGCCAACCCCCTTCTCCCTTGCCTCGAGACCACAATGGCTGGAAAAGCTATGTCCTGCCTGCCTCCTTCCCACTTTCCTTCTCTTCACCTCACAGATATTTATTGATTGTTTGCTGTTTACCAGGCACTGGGGATACTGCAGTGAACTAGACAAATTTCCTGCTCTCTTGGGATTTACAATCTAGTGAAGAGATGGACAATAAGCAAACAGAGAAAGAGATACATAGCAGGTCTAGTGGTAGTGAATATGAAGAAGAAAACCAAAGCATGGTAAGGACACAGAGAGATGGAGAGGGGGCCGAGATGCTATTTTAGCAGGAAGTCAGGCGAGGCCTCTCTGATAGAGTGACATTTGAGAAAGACCTGATGGAAATGATGTGTGAGCCTCAAGGCTATCATCTAGAGGAAGAACGTTCTAAGCCAGTGGTTCTCAACCTTCCTAATGCCGCGACCCTTTAATACAGTCCCTCATGTTGTGGGGACCCCCAACCATAAAATTATTTTTGTTGCTACTTCATAACTGTAATTTTGCTACTGTTATGAATCATAATGTAAATATCTGATAGGCAGGATGTATTTTCATTGTTAGAAATTGAACATAATTAAAGCATAGTGATTAATCACAAAAACAATATGTAATTATATATGTGTTTTCTGATGGTCTTAGGTGACCCCTGTGAAAGGGTCATTCGACCCCCAAAGGGGTTGCGACCCACAGGTTGAGAATCACTGTTCTAAGCAGATGGAACAGTATATGCAAATCAGAGGCAGGAACTTTTTGATTTGCTTAAAGGAGAACAAGAAGTTCAAAGAGGCTGATGTGAACCTTGGAGGAAGTGGTAGTGGATGAGTCAGAGTTTAAGAAGTTGTTATGGTAAAAAGAGATCTATAGCAAAATAAACTAGAAAATGCTGAACTAAACAAAATGCGATGAGTCTCTTTATGACAGGGCAGACCTGAGCCTTTGACGTGCTCACGTGCATTAGGAATAGAGTAAACATTTCCCAAACTTATACTCATCTGTGAAACTTCGACAAGAACATCCCACTTGGACTATGTGTTCTGCTCTTGGCAGACTCTACCTTGGCCCATGCATGGCATGAGCGGGCACTTCCAGTGTTCATGATTTTTGGGGTGCTGAAGTACATGGAAGTATACAGAACTGAGAATTCCAAGTTCCCACATGATGAGGAGGGAGGAAGAGGAGCATCCACTAGGAAGTGCTGCATTTTATCCAGTCAATTTCCATGGATAAAGGGGTCAGATGCCATTAGGTTCTTAATCTGGACAGTTGACAATAGATGAACAAGGGGTTGGATGAGGCCTCTGGATACCTGCCCCCTGTTGTCTCCCACAGAGGGAAGGCAGTTGGTCTTTATGCTCAGCCCACCCACAGGCTGGCGTGATCTAAGGCCCCAGGAAGCATGAACTCACTCAGCATGAACTCAGCAGGGGCTCTCCAGAGCCCATTTTCCCACTGGGTCCAGAAGGCCAGAGTCCAGCCCTAGGGAAGGCGAGAAGGCCCTTTGGCTTCCCTTGTCTAAACGCTTGCCACAGCTGCTGCATTGTAGGAGAGACTGTAAAGAGAAGATGCTGCCCTAGCTGGTTTGGCTCAGTGGATAGAGCGTCGGCCTGCGGACTGAAGGGTCCTGGGTTCGATTCCGGCCAAGGGCACTTGCCCAGGTTGCAGGCTCGATCCCCAGTGTGGGCGTGCAGAAGGCAGCTGATCATTGATTCTTTCTCATCATTGATGTTTCTATCTCTCTCTCTCTCTCCCTCTCCCTTCCTCTCTGAAATCAATAAAAATAAAATAAAATTTTAAAAATAAATAAATAAAAAAGAGAAGGTGCTCCGGCATGTGGGGAAAGCCACTACCTGCAGGGGGAGTTCCGGCTTCCAGGGCTGATTGGCCACCTCCCTCTATACGTGCCCTCTATACCTGTATACCTGGCACAATGCCCAATACAGTGGGTGCTCATTTCCTGAATGAATGAAAATAGCTCAAATTGATAGTTTCAAATGAAAGTAGTTAGCAGTTAGCACAGTTAAGAATGTGTGTGTGTGTGTGTGTGTGTGAGAGAGAGAGAGAGAGAGAGAGAGATAGAGTGAAGAATTTAATGGTGGAGTGACAGTAACTTCATCTTCAGTAGCTAAGGTATATTCTGTATAGAAAATAGCCAAAGAGAACTGTGATCCCTACATGTCCCTGAAGATGCCCTGTGAGTCAGACACTCGGCAACATCTCCGAAGTACTGTGTTTTCATAAGAGGGCATGATAAACCATTTCCATAGTCACTGGGGGTGAATGAAAAAGAGATGGGGACTGAGGGCTGCGCTCACTGAACTTCTCTGCCGAGCTAAGCACCGGTCAGCGCACTTCAGGACAGCCAGCTACGTAACCCCGGCTGCAGTACGGGTGTTTTTTTAAATTTCCGAATCATTTCTCTTTTTTTTGTAGATAAAACCGGAAAGAAAGGCTACAGACATAAACTGTGCAAATAAAATAACCTTGAGAGGAGGCTGTGTGAGTCAAAACTTACCATCTCCTTGTTGCTATGGTTACCTCCAGCAGGTCACCCAGTGAGAATGGCTCTGTCATCAGCAACGAATCAGGGAAGCCCAGCTCAGGGAGGCGCTCGCCCCAGAATGTAACGGCACAGCAGAAAGCGACAAAGGAGGAGGCACGGAAGAGAAATGGTGAGAAGCCTTCCCTGCCAAGTACCGCCCTCGAGCCTGTCCCACATATGCGTGCACACACCCGTGCACACAGGCCTGCACACACTCACACACCCCAGTGTGCCACCCTCATTTCTTCTTTCTGTTTTGTCCTCAAAGACCACAAGTCAGTTTCCTACCTACCTGTTAGAGTATTGCCTGACCCCCGTCTCTGAATTATCCTGGCTCCTGTTCTTATGGAATTGTGCAGGGCCTCAAAAAACTCTAATGCAGAATGAACTGATGTTTGCTTAGAGATTTTTCGATTCTGGGGTGAATCGGCATTTCTGGCACCAGGTCCTCTTGGGTGGCAGGTCTCTGAAATGCTGCTTGTCTTGGAGATTCCCCCCGTTTTCTTTCCCTGACTCCCCTGATAGGTTCCAGGGGTTCATTCTAGGCCAGTGAGTCCAGATGCTGCAAATCCCCCTCTCCCAGGAAAAACAGCACAGTGATAAATATTATCATAGACATCAGCCTATGCTCCTGCCTCTGTTTTCCAGGGAAGCTTAATGGTTGAGTTTCTCAAACAGATCTTCCTCCTTATAAAGGTTTGGTGTTGGGGTTTGTTGGTAAGTCCTCGGAGCCACCTGGCTGTGCTGTGGCACCATCTATGTATAGCTCACTTCTGCCGGACCCCATGGTGCAGCCTCCCTGTCTTCCCAGTCCCACTTTGGTTCTGATCTTCCTCTCCATTCGGTCCTTCCATGAGTGATGCCGGCTTCCTGGAGACCAGATTCAAGTACCCCATGCCGCCACCCGGATCAAGGAAGGTACCTTTAGGACAGTGGTTCTCAACCTTCTGGCCCTTTAAATACAGTTCCTCATGTTGTGACCCAACCATAAAATTATTTTCGTTGCTACTTCATAACTGTAATGTTGCTACTATTATGAATCATAATGTAAATATCTGATATGCAGGATGGTCTTAGGCGACCCCTGTGAAAGGGTCGTTCGACCCCCAAAGGGGTCGCGACCCACAGGTTGAGAACCTCTGCTTTAGGAGTTCCAAGGGTTGCAGGCAGAGTCCTACAGAAATGCCAGGGGGAGAACCCAACCATCTGGCAGTCTGCTTCGTTGTGCCTCCTTTTTAGAGGAATTGGATGAGGTGTGGCGCAGGGGCTCTTTCTGGAAGCTAGTGCCAGAATATTCCTTTGCTTTCAAATGTCGCTTACTTATTTCTTTGTTTCTGACAAAAGAAAGAAGAGAGAAAGAAAAGAAAGAATGCCACAATAGACCCCATGCCCAGCTATCATATAAAATACTTGTTTAGAATGTTATGCTGATTTGATCCTTGAGTTTTTTCTTCTCCTGAACTCCCTTGCCCTGTAACACGGAGACTGCTGTCCACTCCAGAACCAGGCTGTGACATGTGGGGTTTTCCTGGGACATCTGTCCTCCTTGGGGCCAGAAGTCCTGCCCAGAATCCGCTCTCGGCCAAGCCAGCTCACAGAGGGCCCGAGCTCCGACATGTGAAGGGGGACGTGAACTTAGCAACTTTCTTCTCTTCCTTCCCAGGGCGAGGTGCTAAGAACGAAGGGGAGAGGGAGGGAGGGAGGCCACACAGAGACAATGGACAGTGAAGACACAGGGGAAAGTTGTTTTAACCAAGTGCAGAGACTGCCATCACCACCCAATCAAGGGACCCCCTCTGCTTCTCTACTCCCGCCCAACCTCCTTGCCTGCCTTCCTTTATATTCTTCCTGGAAATATATAAGGTCAAGTCAAAGTCCACCCTCGTCCAGATCCCCCATCACCTACCCCAGTCCTCAAATGACCTTGAATAACGTAGCGTGTCTTTCTCAGACCTTTTTACTATGCATATGACAACACACCGTATCTTTGTTTTCTGTTGTGTAGCTTTGTTTTGTTTTGTAAAACGGGATCAATGTACATACTGTTCTGTGGCCTTTTTCTTGCAAAAGAATGTGCAGCCTACAGACTCCTCTGTCAGTAAATACACACGTACAACATGATGCCTTTCCCCGTCCCCTGCATTTATTTCATAGACAAGGAGGAGCAGGGCCGGTTTCAGATCCCATCGCTCCCCACGCCTCTGGGGAGACACTGACATGCTCTAAATGTCCCTGCTGACCTCCCCCACCCTTATTCTGCCACCTCCTCTGCCTGCCTCCTTATTCTGTTTTGGTCACTGTGATTATTTAAACATCAGGTTTAGAAATGACAACAGGACGGTGCACAAGCAGAATGCAATTACCGGCCAGGTTGAGGTTTTCATGCAATAGCTTTATTTAAACGCCATCCTTTCTCCCGGTTCCCAGTGCTTTGCTGCATTGTCTTTTTGCCAGAAGTCAGCCCAGTGAATTTTCAGGGTTGGTGGCTTCTGTTTTACCACTGGTTCCCACCCAGTGAGGTTTCCGTTTGAAATTTTCAAATAGAAGTGTTAGCACCAACACATTTAATGAAAACAGATGCTGAAGCACATCAGAATTCTAGGATGGACCTTCAACAGAACCTACACTTGTCCTTTTTATCAAAGGGCTCCACTTTATCATAATGCTAGGTTATAGTCTACCCCCCAAAAAAATCAGTAGTGTATTTTATTGGATTGGAAGATGAAACCTAAGGAATGGGAGAAAAGGAGGGAGGAAAGAAATAACATTGAAATTGTGGAGAAATAGAAAAAGGTATATTGTCAGCTTGCGAAAGGTATTTTAATGTGTGACTGTGGTCTCTGAGAATGGACTATTATATGGAATATTCAGATACTGTTGTTTTATGGCTCGGTATCCATTCTAGAGGTTAGAGTTACTAAGGTTAATGAACAAATGTTAATGTTCCAGGCTGTCATTATGAAACTGTTTGGTTCCCACCAGTTTTGTTGCATTTGTACCTTATGATTTTCCACTTTCGTGAAAATAAGACCTTTAAAAGGGAAAGACATTATCCCTCCAGGAACGCGGCTGGGTGGGTCCTTGTAGCTCAATGGCCTCATTAGCTCCCTGCTTTCGAGTCTGTTTCAGGACGATGTTTAAATGCAAATGGGAAAGACAGAGATGACAGTTAGGATTTTGAAAGCAAAAGAATGTGGAATTTTTTTCAACCAAATACAGACACTTCAACTTCTGAATTAAAACTAATATCATCCAGCCAGTGTGGCTCAGTGGTTGAGCGTTGACCCATGAACCAGGAGGTCACAATTTGATTCCTGGTCAGGGCACATGCCTGGGTTTCGGGCTCAATCCCCAGTAGGAGACGTGCAGGAGGCAGCCAATCAATGATTCTCTCTCATCATTGTTGTTTCTATCACTCTCTCCCTTCCTCTTTCCGAAATTAAAAAAAAAAAAAAGAACCAATGTCACCTTGGAAAAAGTGTTTTCTGGGAAACGAGTTAAAAAATGAGTTCAAAATGAGGACGTAATATATATATTTAAATGTTCAGTCATTTAAAAGCAAAAATGTCCATAAACCCTTAATTGCACACCTTCCTTTAAGACACTGAGAGACAGGTCAGATATTAGCTCAGAAACACAGCTTCAGTTTTCATTCTTTCTGTGCCTTCTCAATGAGAGGTGAAGACTTGCTTGTTATCTGATAAACACCAGAGGGCGGTGACGCTAGTTATAAATCTTCTCTGAGCTTTAAGGGAAATTCCAGAAAGAAAGAGCGTGCATTGTTCAAGAGCATTTTCTGCCTCAAATGGGAGGGCTTGCCCCCTCCCCCACCATGCCAATGTAAAATAAACATCAAGAAACGAAATCTCCCTTCCTAGCCTGATTTGCAGAAGTTCAGATCAACACAACCAGATCCGCATGGCGGCATTTACTGGGAGGACGGCGGTGGTATCTAGGACACTTCAGCAGTTTAACGGTGGCCCTTTTGTTTAGCATTCTCTGGTGCTTTTTCTTTCGGGACTGATTATGCATTAAATATTCCCATGAACCTGCTGGACTCACACAGCATTTTAGTATTAATATTTAATGTAATGCCCTTTAATGTATTTTTCCATATAGTCTTTTTTTTGAGGGGGGTTGGGGGAGGATCACTAATTATTTTTCTCTTAAACCAAGAGGAATTATTGTGCAAATCTGAATCTGACCATTCTGACAGTGAGAATGAAAAATGAACTGTAGTTTGTACATCCTGTTTCTGTCTCCTCAGAGTTATGCTCCTCCCCTTATCCTGTCCATGGGGCGGGGAGTGAGGATGTCACAACCCAGAAGCAATAAAAGTATTAAGTACCATCTCTTTGCATGTTTACCTGTTCTGCAGGTACTAACATCTCCTTTCCAAGTCAGGAAATTTTAGTCATTCCTTTATTCATCATTTATTCAGCAAATCCCTATTGAAAGCCAGCTACCTATAAGATGTTATTAAAGGCAATCGGTATTGCCTTTAAAAATATGGGCAAGAATGGGGCTCATATTCTAGTGTCAGCACACAAATAAAGAGCATTGCATGCTGTGGAGAAAATATAACAGGGTGATGAGGCAGGTTGTTTTAGGCGGGTGGACAAGGAAAGTCTTTTTTCAAGCAGCAACTTGAAAACTAAGAAGGAACGAGGCATGCAAAGACCTGGGGAAAGAGCTTTCTGAGCAGAGTGAACAGCTAATACAAAACCCCGAGGTGGGAACAAGCCTGCTGTGTTCGAGAAGCCGTTGTGGCTGGAGAGGGGATGAAGGGGAGAGGGAAAAATGAGCTCGGTAAGGTCGCCAGGACCAGATTGTACAGAACCTGGGCGGCCTGAGTTTTATTCTGAGAGACATGAGGCCTTCAGAGGGTTCTGGTCAAGGGAGTACTGTGACCTGGTTGTCTTTTAAAAAGATCCATCCTGGCTGCTGGGGGAGTATGCATTTTAGGGATAGGAGGACAAGACTGGAAGCTTGGAGGAGGGAGTCATTTAAGAGGTGTATTAGTTACTTATTGCTGCGTAACAAATCACCCCCACACCTAGTAACCAAAAGCGACAATCTGCATTTATGGTGTTGGATGATGTCTGTGGGTCAGGAATCCAGGAGTGGCTTAGCTGGGTGGTTTGTGCTCAGAATCTCATGAGGTCACAGTCTGGGCTATAGTCATTTCTGAAGACTTGGCTGGGCCTGCCGAATCCACTTACAAGACGGCTCATACGTAGCTGTTGGCAGGAGTCTCATTTTCTTGCCACATGGACCTCTCCATAGGGCTACTTGAATGTCCTCATAACATGGCAGCTGGCTTCTCCCAGAGTAAGGGGTCCAAGAGACAGCAAGGTGGAAGCCACAATGTGTCTTAATGACCTAGCCGTGGAAGTAGCACACGGTCATTTCTGCAATTTCCTTGTGGTTACACAGGTCGGTCCTATTTATGGTGTTTGTGACTCTGAGGAGGTAGCCATCTAGGAGGCTGGCTACCAGAGATGGCGTTCATAGCAGGTGTCCAGGTGGGAGATAATGGGGGTCAGACAGGAGTGCCCCACAAAACTCCTATGCATCCGGTAACATGTCTGAATAGAGATTGTCCTCTGTCATTGGCAGTTCGGTGGCCTGCTATTTGCCAATAAGTCCACAGAACCGAAAAATACTCCAATTAGAGCCATTGTTAGACTCTGAAGCGTTTTAGCCACAATTTACTTGGCTTAATTTGACAAATGTTCGGTGATTATGGCAAGCGACAGAATGATACAAACTATGTGTTTCTCAATGATTTAAATAGCATCCCAATCTCTTGAGCAGACAGGAGGAAAGATAAATACACTTCTATTACATTCGTATTTTAATAACACCTATTTTGTTCCTAAATTGCCTGCTGGTTTAGTTGCTTGAACAGGCTTAATTTATCTCTCGCCCAGCCATGCTCAACAAACTGTCATTCTTATAGTCAGTTAATGGGAAGATGCTTTAAGGAGAAGTAAATCAGCAAGTACCACTGGCCCTGGAACTCCTCCTGTCGGCTTAGTTCTGGAAGCAATCACAGTAGAATTATCATCTGTCAGAGGCGAGAATTAATGCAAAAGAGTGTGGGTGAAAATTGCTCTATTTAATTAGGGGAGTTGTCTGCAGCTTTACATTAGTTTCTCTGGTGGTTATTTCTTAGCTTTCTTTTGTTTTAGACAAACGAAAGAAACTGAAACTCAAATCATTGAGAAGCAGCCTTTAGGGGGAAAAAAAAAAGTGTCAGCTGCAATTACTATGGCTGGTTGACCAGGGAAGACTCGTCACCTTAACATCGTGCAAAAATGGATAACTCTGGTGGCAGAGACTGAACTGAATGCTGTTACTCAATGGATTGTCATATTTTAAGAAGAGTTCCACGTTTGGCCAAGTGGAACTTGCAAACATAGCAAACATTTTTTCCATCTCTGACTCAAACTTGGAGGAAAAAAAATTTACTTTTTTTTAAAAGGTTTTTTTCACAAGTTTGAAAAAAATGGTTTTTACCATTTACATTCAGACTTTTAAAGTTCTTTCCTACCCATGGATAACACGGTAGGCCTTACGTTTAAAAGAAATGCATGAGTAGCAGTGAGCCCTTGGCACAGAACCAGACACTGTTGTTTCTGAGGTCATTTTGAGTCAAGTAATGTCCTTGGGCTGTTAGCATCACACATAAATCCCCCATGTTCCTGAGGCTCCCCTCCGGCCATAAAACCGATGTACTTATTTGTGCTTTAGTGCCCACAAGTGATGAAGAGGAAGGCGCAGTTCTGTTTGACAGCTCTGGCAAGGCGGCTGCTGATCCCTTTGACTCGTCCTCTGGATCCGTGCAGCTCATCGCAGTAAAACCCACAGCCCTCCCCGTGGTGCACCCCACCCCGGACCGGAGCCAGGAGGCCGCAGCGCTCAACGGTGAGGTGAGCACCTGAGCACCCAGAATGGGAGAGAGCCCAGGCAGCCAGGAGCACCACCTGGGAACACCGGGGGCAGGCTGCGTCCAGGTAATAGGGCTCCTTCGGTCATTTTCACCTCTGCGTGCACAGGCCTCAGCGGAATGAATCAGGGCACAAGTCACCCAAAACAAATTTGTTAGGTGATGTTTTCAGAGCATCTTTTTAACCTTCATTCTAGGAAGTCTAGAGGGGGCTTTTAAAGACTGTAGTTATGAAGAGAAACCTCAGAAACTCCTCCCCACATACAGTCTTTTACCTTTCTTGATAACGCTCCTTAACTGTTTATTATCGGATGCCAATTGCAGTGGGAATGCAAGGGGCTTAATGTGAGAGGGCACAGGAGAGGATCCTGTCACTCGAACAGGGATGTGCCCACTCTATAGGCTTTGAAATGAATTTCACTCCTTGGAGCAAGATTGAAACAACCCTTTGGCTGCTGTTAGAAGGATATCTGTGGATATCATGTGGTCATCAATTTTCCTAAGAGTCTGAAAAAAATTGTAACATATATAGAGAATGATGATTTCACGAAGGTTATTTTAAAGAAAACATAGCAACATAGAAAGTTCAGAAAATAAGAGAGAAAAATCACTGTAATTTCACGACTCTAGCATATCCTCTGTTTTCACTCTTACACCTTTTCTTCAAGCTTTTGATCAAACTCATTTATATTTTCGAATCCCATCATCTTGAATGTTAGACATTGGCTGTGTTGCTCTTGTCTTGCTGATGATCATTGTTAATGGCTTAGTTGAGAAGGTATGCCATGGATTAAAAAACTCATCTCCCATTGTTCAAACCTTCCAGGTATGTTTTTGTTTCCAGTTTTGGTTTTGGTTATTACAAATATCACTTCAATTAATAATTTTAAAAGCTTTTATTTTGAAATAATTTTAAGTTAAAAAAAGAGTTTTAGTAATAGTACAGAGTTCCTATACACTTTTTAAAAATTTTTATTGATTGATTTTGAGAGAGAGAGAGAGAGAGAGAAAAGGAGAGAAATGGAAAAAATATATATCAACTTTGTTGTTCCACTTGGTTGATTCTCATATGTGCCCTAACCTGGAATCAAACCTACAACCTTGTCATATCAGAATGATGCTCTAACCAATTGAGCTACCCAGACAGGGCCTCCTATACACTCTATACATAGCTACCCTAATGTTAACATCTTATAGAACCATAGAATAATTATCAAACCCAGGAAACTAACTATTGACTATAGACCTCTTTGAGTTTCACTGGTTTTCCCACTGATGTCCTTTTCCCATTTTGGGATCCATCAAGGATCCTCCATGGCATTTAGTTGTCTCCTTAGTCTCTTCCAGTCTGGGATAGTCATTCTTTGTGACCATTCTTTGTATTTCATGACCATCACTCTTCTGAAGAGTACTGGCCACTTGTCATGTAGAACGTTTCTCAATCTGAGTTTGTCTGATGTTTTCTTGTGACGGGACTGAGGTCATGTAATTTTTGGCATAACCACAGGGGTGATAGGCCTTTTTGTGGGCGTCATATCAGGAAATACCTGATCCTGGTATGTCTGATTACTAGTGATATTAACTTTCATCTCTGACTTTGAACTTCTCATGGAATGTTGCTTTAGTTGAGATTCCAGAAATGGCATTCCTGGCCCAGAGGATGTTACCCTAACTTCCTTCTTTGCTAGTTTTTGCAGTGGCAAGCAGAATGAAGGAACAGTGAAGACTTGTTAAATTCTTCCAGTCTAAAAATAGAATTAGGGGCCCCAATTGGGGAAATCCTTTGCAAAAGTTAGGGGGAAAAATGTCTTCCAGTTATTATTTCTTCAAACATTATAAAACGAAAATATCTAAGATAGTGAACCTTGGTCCTCATATTGTGTAGGTTGATATATGCACCAGGTGAATTTTCCTTTTATGAATCACAGGAAATTCTTTTAAAGATTATTTTAGCCCTGGCCAGCATTGCTCAGTTGGGTGAGCATTGTCCCATACACCAAAAGGTTGTAGGTTCAATTCCCAGTCAGGACATATGTCCCTGTTGCTGACTCAATCTTCCGTGGAGGGCGTGCAGGAGGAAGCCGATCAGTAGTATTCACTCATCGATGTTTCTCTCTCTCCCTCTCCCTTCCTCTCTCTGTAAATCAATAAAAACATATTTTTAAAAAAGATTATTTTAAAGAAAGCATAATAACAGCACTACACATGGTTATATTAATATAGTCAAGTCTAATTACAAACAGCACTCATGGTTCTCCATGGCATCCAGTAAGTGTCAGGCAGATATCACCATTCAGTTTCATTCATGGGTGTAACATCTTCATCCTTTGTTGTTTATTTAGCATAATCATCTGTATCTTTTTTGAGTATATTTTTTATTTATTTCAGAGAGGAAAGGAGAGGGAGAGAGAGATAGAAACATCAATGATGAGAGAGAATCATTGATTGGATGCCTCCTGCACGACCCCTACTGGGGATTGAGCCCGCAACCCAGGCATGTGCTCTTGACCAGAATCGAACCTGGGACCATTCAGTCTGCAGGCTGATGCTCTATCCATTGAGCCAAACCAGCTAGGGCTGTTTGTATCTTTGAAGGTCAAAAGGTATGTTCCTTTTTAGAAGACCAGACTGGCTTGGCCCTTTAGAGCAGAAACTGGTTGGCATTAGTGGCCATACAAGGCTTCAAAATTCCTTATCTCTTGAGAAAAATATAAATTGACAAAAATAAGCACTCAAATGCAGATTGATAGTGTGGAGAGACCTTGGGAGCAGGGTGTCTGCTGCCCCTTCCCACCCCGTTCATCTCAATTCAGCCTCCTCAGGAACCGCCTGTCTTATCCAGGTGGGCACCAACTGAATGGCCAAGGGAGATTATTGGGTTCCTCAGGGCTGAACCTAGAATTGGGCACCAAGATCCAGCTGGGCTGCTCAGTCAGAGGCTCTCATGCAGGGGGGACAAAAACGGTTTAGGTGGGATTAAGGCCCACGCCACAAAGCTAAAAGAGTGGACTCAGGCCTATGTCTGAACAGACTCAGGTAGATTAGGGAATAGGAGGCTTTGGTGGAAGGTCTCAGGCAACGTAGGTGTGGGCCAGACTCCACGTTGTCTGTGGCCCACTGTCGTGAGCTGGTATTGGAAGGGATCACAGTTGGGTCATGGCTGGCTCGAAGGCCCGGACATGAAGCCTAGGATTACTTCTCCTGGAGTTGTGACCCTCGGCTGTGCAGGGTCAGGTGTGGACTTGAGACGATCTCTCTCCCCAGGTGAACAAAGCCCTGAAGCAGAAGTCAGACATCGAACACTATCGGAACAAGCTGCGCCTCAAAGCCAAGAGGAAGGGGTATTACGATTTCCCTGCAGTGGAGACAAACAAGGCTCAGACGGAAAGAAAAAAGATGTATGAGAAAGCCCCAAAGGAAGTCGAGCATGTGTTGGATCCAGACCCAGAACTGTGCGCCCCATTCGCTGAGTCTAAAAACAGGTGCGGTCTGTAAGGGAATTATTTGAAGGTCGCTGCGCCATTGGTGGGATGAGGGTAGCGGGTGCCTTGGGCAGTGCAGTCCTGGTCCCTTGATCTGTTAGCTTAGGACTGTCATCTCTGAAGGCCGCTGAGCCAGACCATTCTCTTTTGTGTGAGCATGTGCTCCATAATGAGTCTGAAAGAGAATAAAATGGAAGCCACAAATACTTGGGTAAACAACCATAATTGTCCTTTAGCTTAGTGATATTTTCAAACTTTAGCTGTTTCAGAGCTGGGAGAAGATATAATTATCACCTACCTGGTTATGCAACTTCCAGATCAAAGGACATGGTATTTTTTCAATTATTTTAGAGGCTCTTGCATAAGAGAAGCAAATTTCATGCCTCACCTTTTCATTCAGCTGCAGTAAGTATTTACCACATAGCTACTCGGAGCTCCGTGCTGGGTTCATCTCTTTAATTCATAGATTTGGTCATGTATTTGACATTTAGTGTCACCTGCTATGTATGAGCCACCACGCAAGATGCTGAATACTGTCACAGCCGTGTTGCTTTTTCTCACTCATTTATTCACTCATACATTCAACTCATTCAACATTTTATGGCAGACCAGACAGCCCAATTGCTGCTCTTAAGGTCCGAATTGGGAGAGAAATATAACCACCTCAGAAGTTTATTACGCACAGGTGTGATGGGAGTTGAAATGTGAGGTGCTATAACAGTCTATCAGGGGACCCGGCCTCCCAAGGGAAGGTTAGGCCCAGGGGTTTGAATTATCATCCTCCCAAGCTTTGTTGCCAGCTGAACAGGGTGATCTCACCGCCTGGGTAAAGGAAGAGAGGTTCAAGCAGAGCTGTGCACGCCCATCTTTCTTCTTTTCCTCCCCACCCCGAAGCACTTCTTCGGAAACACTCCTTCATGATTTGAGACCATGGCTTTCAAATACACATTCTCCTTGGTGACGGCCCCTTGGCTGGGAGCATGCCAATGCTCTGACCCGCCCCCTAGCCTTGGCAGACACACTCTTCCCAGACTGGGTGGGACAGGACCGTTCCCTGCCTGAGTGGGTGTTTATTAAAAGCAGACTTGACCATGTGACAGGCTTGGATGGGAGACATAAAATCCAGCTGGGAGGTGAGGCTAAACTTTTTGAACGGAATTGACAGAATTTATTTTCAACAAAGAAATGAGGGATTTTTAAACCAGTGCTTCATTTCACATGCTTCTCATTAGGCTCGGGAGGGACAGCAAGCTGTTGATGTGAAACCACACTGTGACAGGGAACACAATGCAGGTGTCACCATGTTGATAACTGTAGAAAGAAGAGAAGATAGGGATTTTATGGGGAGGCGGGGGGCTTCTTTAGAGTTTACTTAGCATGTTGAGACCTTTCAGTTCAGCAGTCTTTTATAGACAGGGTGGGAAGTTGTTTTTTCTGGGTTTCCTGCTGACACTGAGAAAAGGAATCAAAGATCATGTGCCAATGAGAACTTAACTTGGAAGCTATTTGAGAAATTAATAAAACTTTCAGTTGAAGCTTTAAAACTTTTTTTAATTTTTCAATTATAGTTGGCATTCAGTATATATTAGTTCCAGGTGTTCAGCCTAGTGGTTAGACATTTATTTCTATAACTTGTGAAGTGATTCCCCTGATAAGTCTCCTACCCATCTGGCACCATACATATTTATTCCAATATTACTGACTGTATTTTCTATGCTATACTTTAGATCCCTGTGACTATTTTTGCTTCTTAACCCTTTCACCTTTTTCACTCAATCCTCCATACCCCCTTCCATCTGGCAACCATCTGTGTGTTCTCTGTATCTATGAGTCTGTTTTGATTGTCCATTTATTTTGTTTTTTAGACTCCACATACATGTTAAATCATATGGATTTGTCTTTCTCTATCTGACTTATTTCACTTAGCGTAATACCCTCTAGATCAGTGGTTCTCAACCTTCCTAATGCCACGACCCTTTAATACAGTTCCTCATGTTGTGGTGACCCCCCAATTTCATTGTTACAAATTGAACATAATTAAAGCAGTGATTAATCAGAAAAATAATATGTAATGAAATATGTGTTTTCCGATGGTCTTAGGTGACCCCTGTGAAAGGGTCGTTCGACCCCCACAGGGGTCACGACCCACAGGTTGAGAACCGCTGCTCTAGATCCATCCAGGCTGTCGCATATGGTGAGATTTCATTCTTTTTATGTTAAGTAATATTCCATTGTATATACATGTACCACATTTTCTTTAGAACACAGTTTGGGAACTGCTTTCTTAAACTATAGTAGGATTAAAAAGCTCCTAAAAATCCAAATAAAAGTTATCATTATCTACCCAGCTATATTTTCAGAGGTAAAAAAAAAAAAACTTCTCAAGTTCGCAAGTATCCAAATTTATTGCCTTTTAAAGAATATAGCAAAATAACAACAAGAAATTAACACACCTTTTGGAACTCTATTTGGTTAAAATAAGTAACCTCTCTACCTAAGAGCCTAAGTATTTCTAAGTAGTTTCTTGCACACCTTGCACACTGAGAGTCTGGTCAGTTGTGGTCCATACTCACCAGTAGCCTAGAAGCTTGTATCGTAAAGGCGGCTGGCGTGCACTCAGCGTCTAAGCTCTCACCCACATCCGTGGTTCCTGAAGGGGCTTCCACAATCTCACTTTGTATTTCTAATGCTTCCAAAATAACCTACTTTCCTAATCCTAGGGTTTTATCCCCAACCACCCGTCTTAGTAAATCTTTTCTAAATGGGCTAATTGGCAATCTCAGGGCAGCTGTGAAATCTACTTTTTTAAAAAAGTCTATAATTAGGTCAAGGAAGAGAGCTCTGTGGGGTCTCAAAGTGTGACTCACTCAGGACGGATTCTGTTTTACAAAGTTGTGCTCCATTCCTAAAGAAAGCCCCTCATTGCAGACAAGTCTAGGGCACATTTCATTATGGTTGGGTTTAAACTCTTACATTAGTCAGGATTCTTTTGGTTGCAAGCGATGGAAATCCAGCACAAACAGGTTAAGTAAAAGGGAATTTATTACTGAACATAATTGAAAGGTCAAGGCTTCCGGTGTGGCTAGATCCAAGGGATCATGCCATGTCTCCCATATTTATCTTGCTCTCTCTTCACTCTTTGCTGGCTCCTTTTCAGGCAGGCTCTTACCTCTTAGCGGCAGCAGCACCTCTAGGCTTGTAGTCTATCTTCTTAGAAACCTCAATGCCGAGAGAATGCCTGTTTCCTGGTTGCTCTAGCAAAAGCCCTGGGATTCAGTGTCCTTGGACCAACTCCCTCTGACCAATCAGTGTGGCCACGGGGGTGCGATGCTGTGATTGTACAACCTGATTCTCATGCCAACCCCTGGAGCAAGCGAATGCCACCGAGAACAGCTTATGGGTACCAGGCAAGCAGAGATCACAGGTGCTCTCTACATAGGTGTAAGCCCTCGTGGTGAGGGAGTAGGTCTGTTGGTGTCTGTGTCATTCCCTGGGCTAATTGCAAGGGTAGTGTTTTGCTTTGGGAGTCCTAATGTCTGTTCTAGACTAACAGGGTGTGACTGCCATGCTGTGACATGCTGGGTGTGTGATCCTGAAAAGGTGTGTATACCTGCCAGATTTCTGGTTTCCCACAGAGCCACTGAGAACAAATAAAGCAACTGTTTTACCTTCAACCCGTGAGTAGATAGAATGTTAGAATCAAGACATAAAATAGGTGGTATTTGGGGAGTTCGCTCAAGATAGATGCTCTGAAATGCAAGTTATTAACAGAGGGAAACTTCTTGTTGGATGAGAAGGAAGTTGGTGATTTTGTCATTCAAAGGATCACGTGAAAGTCCCCTGTCCCCACTGGGCCTCACTCCCCACTTGTGTTACTTCCTGTGGAAAAAGCAAAGCAAAGCCACAACCCTCCTTCGTTGCTGTTGTTTTCCTCTTCCTCAAAAAGTTCCTCTCATGACAAGCGGAAACAGGACAGTGGTGGCAAATGTCGGCGTTTCCAAGGGGGAACCAAGGGGAGCCTCTGACCGTGCTGCTCCCTGGGACTGACGTGCTTGGTGCCCAGGTAGGCATGTGGCTGCCTGTAGGTCTCGGCTGAACTGTCAGCTCTCCTGGGAGGCCTTCCCTGGCCATCCTACCTAAAGTTGTCCCCCATCATCATCACCCTCGGTCATATCCCCTTGTTGTTTTTCTGAACATTAATATAAGGCTTTTATTGACGACAATACTATACTTTATGGTTGATTAAACACACACATATGAATATTACATATATAGGGTGACCCCTCCCAAAATGTATACATACTAGTACACTGAATAATTATAAAGGCAGTGTTTATTTATTTTTTTAATATATTTTATTGATTTTTTACAGAGAGGAAGGGAGAGAGATAGACAGAAACATCGATGGGAGAGAGACATCGATCAGCTGCCTCCCGCACATCTCCCACTGGGGACGTGCCCGCAACCCAGGCACATGCCCTTGACCGGAATCGAACCCGGGTACACACACACACACACACACACACACACTCCTCTATCACTTCCTTGCACTCTCACACTCTCTCCCTCCCTACCTTCCTGCTGGTCGCCATTTTTCCTATATCAAAAATTTTTTCAATTACAGTTTATTCGATATTATTTTGTGTTGGTTTCAGGTAGACAGCATAGTGGTTAGACAATCATATGCTGTATAAGTGTTCCCCCTGATATTTCCAGCACCCAGCTGCTACCATACGTAGTTATTACAACATCATTGACTGTATTCCCTATGCAGTACTTTACATCCCCACAACGGTTTTTTTGTGCTTCTCATCTCCTTGTTTTTCTTACGCAGGGGGCTTACACTATTTAGAGAGCACTTATCACTCTGAAATTATCATGTGGTTTATCTGTCTCTCTCATTAGAATGTAAGCTCTGTCTTGCTCACTGTGGACCTTCAGCATCTTTCATGGTGACTGGAACATAGTAGGCACTCAGTAAATATTAGGTATGATGGACGGATGGACCAATGGATAGAGGAGCCCCAAATTGCCTCTAGTTTATAACTCCTTAGGCCAGAGGGGAAACCACTGTGGTGAAGGTAGAAAAGAAAGTCTATCCAAGTGGTAGTATTAAGCATCCCATTAGCCTCCGGGTTTATTAACACATCATGGAGCCCTGCCTGCAGAATCGGAAAGATGAATAAGAACAGGAGGCTGCTGAGTCAACAGTCAACAGAAGCAAGTTTGTTCTTCCAGTGTTAGCTCTTTTCAAGGGTCAAGGGAAAGCCATTGGCCTAGCCATCAGCAGGATTTTAGATGAGGTTGCAGTGTTGCAATTGATTGTAGTTACCAGATGAAAAAGCATTTACAATTCAGCCAAATGGTTACAGCATCTGGGAAAAAAAAATCTTTATTCCACTATTTCTATGGCCCCTGGTGACTGGGGAGCGAATGCCGTCAATTCTGAGATTTGTGAGGCGAATCCAACCAAACCCTTCATTGGTTGCCTGTATTTTGGATCAGTGGAGAATTCCATCTGTCAGGGCATTTGCTGCATCATAACAGTTGTTGGATTTTCTACAGGCAACAGACGAAGAACTCTGTCTACCGAAGCCGGCAGTCTCTGAATAGCCCAAGTCCGGGGGAAACGGAGATGGACCTTCTGGTGACACGGGAGCGACCCCGGCGTGGAATTCGTAACAGCGGATATGATGTAAGTCTCTGTTGGGCCAAGCTTTTCTTTCCCTGAATGCAAAAGGGATAGAGTATCCCATATGTTTCAGTTTAGTGTATAGCTGTGGAATTTAAAAATGCAGTAAGATCTTTTCTGTTTTATTATTTCTTATTACCTATTTGCGAAGTAAGACTATTTGGAATGGCCAGAGTAGGAATGATTGGTACAAGGGTCTCGATTTCCAAATGCAGTCATTTAGAAATAGTTCAGTATTGGCCTTAAACTCAGAGATTCTAAATTCTGTTCTTTCCCCCTCTGTTCTTAGAAACTTAGTATGAACCATGGCCATGGGTTAGGACTCATTTGAGGACAGGCTGCTTTTCATCCATAGCAAGGCTGAGGAGTTGGATTTGTTGGTTGCATAACTTCTCAGTTTGCCATGGACACAGTGAGGTGTCAACAGAGAGATTGGGTGATTTCATGTGATGAAGTACATGTGATGTGCAGTGATATCTCCAAACTGCAAAAATTCTGCTAATCCCATCAAACTTCCCCAGACGATCAGTTATGATTTGGTGCCTCCTGTCACATTGTGCATCCTTTCGCATGTCACTGCACCTGTTGAGTTGCGCTCACATGAACGATACCCTGCTGAGATATTCAGTAAGCTTCACCCAGCCCTGGAATGTCAAATGGTCTCGAATATATTCTTAGGTCTTATGAAAAGTGTTTCTTTCCCATTCTTCTAAAATGTTTCTCTTATTACAAATAAAAAGTTTTCTGTAATAGAGCTATGATTGAAATATGTCTGGATAAAGCTTTGTCATAATTTGTGAGGTTGTCATTTGAAAATGACACTTGATTTCTTAAACATACCATACTAATTTAATGGCAAGAATATTCCCTCCCCCCCCCCCCCCCTCAGGATTGGTCATTGTTTTCTACAGTAGCTAAAAATGGAGTTCTTTAATGGTCCAATTAAAATCAGAGATAGCCTACCTAATTTGAATTTCTAATTACCTCCCTTATATTTAAACTTAATGTTTGTGTTGGTGGTGATATCCTTCTCTCATATTTCTTTTTCCTTTTTTAATATAAGACAGTTTGATAGTTTCATTTTATAAAATTCTAGATGCTTTGGGCAAATCATTTTTCCCCTCCAGATTAAAGTATTCAATATTAATTTTTCTCCTCATAAAAGTATTTCTTGTACTAAACTCAGTCATCGATTGAATAATCAGCCTGTGGTTGAATATTGGGCATTGGACTTTTCCTGTTCATCTCTCCCTACCGACAGTGCATGTTCTTCCTGGCTGCTTGTAGCTGGGGGAGCTTTTTCTTCTGCTAGGCCCTAGGGCTTCTCTGAGGTATGACAGGATTCTTAAGTTATCTCAGGTTTAGTATTTATAGGTTTCTTGTGAGATTCGAGGCACATAAATTTTACTATTTGAGGAAATAGGCCAAAGGTTTCCGTATTTTGAAAAGAGAACATTGCAGATTTTTTTAACCACTGTGCCAAGAGTGAGTACTCGCTTTTGGAATGTCTTGTTAGTAAATTACCTGGAAGGAGAGAGATGATTTTTAAAAGGAGGTTGCTCACCCCTCACAAACATGTATAAATATCCCAATCATAGATTACATTAGGAAGGCACTAATAGATTTTTAAAAAATATACATTTCTTTGCAGTGTGCATATGATCTCAGAAATAATAAGCAAATACATTTCCTTAAGAGAAAATGATCATCTAGGGAACGATTTTTAAGAATATAGAACTCACTCCTGTTGACTGTGAGAATGAAATTGCTTCTTATATCTCCTCCTGTGTTTTTTATTCTAATCATATGAAAAGTAGCTATCATTTACTGACTGCACCCTGTAGATTAGGCCCTATTTCAGTCTTTCCATGTGTGTTGTCTAATTGAATTTGAAAAGTCAATAGTCAGTTAGGTACTCTCATTATGCCCATTGTCCAGATGGGAAAACCAAGGCACAGAGCAGCCACATAATTTGTCTGCCACCTCCAAATCACCATGCACTATGACTTCTATCTACACCCACCCTACTAAACATCTGTCCTCACCTAAATATAGAACATAATAGATATTCTGTATTTCTGAATCTCTCGAAGAGGCTTAATGTCAGGTCTCCCAAGAATTCTTGCATGGATATTCACACAAGCAAAAAACGGACCAGCAGATAAAGTAGAAAAAGAGAAGAGTCATCGTTTTAAACAATGCATTCATTCTCTGAACTCTTGATTTTCCAAAAATGTCAAGGCATTCCTGGCAAAGGAATCCATTAGCCCAGCAGTGAGCAGGTCATTCAGTTGGAAGCATGTCAGTCTTTCTGCTGGGACTGGGGAACTTGAAGCTGGGCCAGGATTTCCAGTCCTTTCTGCCAGATTGGGAAACACCAGGGGGACCTGCTCCTTGACATGGCAGAAACAAAAGCCCTGGGAGATTGATTCAATTGTGTATTTTCCCAAAGTTGACTACTTTAGAGTCCCAGCCGAAAAGCCTGCGTGTAAAAACAAACAAACAAACAAACAAATACATGCTCCACAGGCAAATCTTAGCGCCAGGACTGATGGAGGCCTGGACTGTTGCAGGTTTTTCCACAGGCTCCTCTTCGGGCCTGCACAGGAGAGCCTCTTAGCTCCAAGGGCTTTGGGAATCAGTGTGTTTTGCAAGAATTCTGAACCTCCTACTCAAGCTAACAACTAAGGGATGTAACACACTCCTGGCAGTACCTGTGGCTCATTTGGGTAATAATTTTCTAGGAGGAAGCACCCCCTTTAGAAGAATGCATGATTTTAGAAAGATGTCCAAGACTGATCACTCCTCGATGGCCAGATCGCATCATCAAATTAAATTGTGGCATTGACACGAATTCCTCCCAGTGCATAAAGTGGGTACAAGCGATCATGTCAGCCTAATATTTAAAAGCAAAAAAGAAATCTATATCTCAAAAATATTTTTTAAATGTTCTTTTCCAAATGAAAGTCATAGAAAACAATGAAGCCGTGAGGAAAAGAAAATGGCCCAAATGTGAATTCTGGGGCAGAATAAAAACCCAAGTGATTTTTCCCCCGTCGGCCGAATTAATAACCTCTGCCTGTGGCTGATGAATCAGACTTTGCTTCCAAAGGGCAAGTAATTAATTCGATCGTTTCCCAGAAATAAAAACCAACCCGGATCTGTGTTTGGAGTTTAAAAATCTATGACAGGAATGGGGTCAGCTATGTGCCTTGGCTGTGAAGGAGACCAAATGGATTGTCTGACTTACAGCTTCGCACATGAACGCTGACGTCCCAGACGAGACGCCTTTGCAAGCTCCTGCCCTTAGGTCTCTCTGGGCACCTTGTCCAAGGTCCCACGCCCTGCAGGCACTCAGAGAGCATTCGAGGCAGAATGGCGGGCCCAGACCCTAAAATGTGGGCAGTGGGTTGAGACCATTAAGAAGGATGATGGGTGCATCGATGCACCTCAGAAGGGAGATCGAAGGCTCTGCCACGGCAACCAGTCATTGCTTCTCATCCCAGAGGCGTTCTTTCAGGGAGATGGTTTGAAATGTTCGGGAACACCAGCTGCTTTTCCATCTGAAAAGTTGATGTTAATCTACACAAAAAGGGGTGCTACACCAGAGAAGGTTCAGCTGCAGAAAACATGAAGCCACTACAGGAGTGCACGCTGCAGAGAGGTTCCAAATGCCCGTCTACTGTCCCCAGCACGCACCACGTGAAAGGGAGATGAGGCAGTATTGGGAAGCAGTTGGGGGAATCGGTGGAGGAAAGCAAAGGGGGAGATGGGAGCATCGCTCAGCCCTCAGGCCCCAGCCGCCTGCCGAAGGCCGGGTGCATTGTGCCGTGTGTGATGGGGTGTTTGTCTTGCTGGCCTCTCTGGGCTGACAATGCAGCCGGTTCCCCTTTGATCCAGGTGAGCAGGTGGAAGGAGGCCAAGGAATCGGAACAGTTGTTTTGATGGGTTCCATTTGCAGGGGGATGAAATATGATCTGGAAAGTTCCTCCCCCGCCCACCCCCTCCTGCAATAGCCTATAGCAAATCTGGGGCCTTCTAGATACATTTGTAAATCCTATTATTAACAGGACTCTCTCCTGCTCGCCCACTCCCACCCTCCCCCAGCATCTTACCGCTTCGGCATGACGGTCGGAGGCCAGGGCAAAGCACAGGAATGCCCTGGCAGCTCATGGTGTTCCCGGTACAGGTACATTCAACTTCTAGTTTCATTGAGAGGCAAATGGTTGAATTTGAAGGCTTTGTCCTTCGCCTCAACCTGCTGCTGCCCTAAGAACTAGGTGCTCTTGTGTTGACCCCACTCCCCCCACCGTGACGACACCCCCTCATCATCCCACCTAGAACCGTGTTACACGTGTCTCCCATCTCAGCCTTCAATTTCTTTATCCTACCTCTGCCAGCTGGTTCAGCTATTAATAGCCCTGGCTTCATCTGTTATCTTAAGTTAATTTATAGTACATTGTATTTTTTAACAGAGGCTTTTAATCCAAAGGAAATGCATGATCATCGGAAATCAGGGTTCGTCATTGAGCCTGATGTGGAGGTGTTTGGTGGTGAAGGGGGCCCTTTGGTGTGTTTGGTAGTGAAGGGGGCCTTTGGGCATAGGCAGTATCTCACCTGCCTGGTGGCTGCCCGCAAAGATGGAGGCCCCTTGGCAAGTAGGGGGAGGAGCAGGAGGCAGGTTTAGGAGGGAGCAGGCCAGGTTTCAGGATGGCCCACTGGCCTCACTCAGAGCCAGGCCTTCCCTGTAGGCCCAGGACCTCCCCCAATGCGGACAGTTTCCCACTGGGCAGGAGACAAGCAGCTTCCTTCTGTCATGAGCGCACAGTGCCATCTGCCTGCTCATTCTCTGATTCCTAGGATCTGGATGCCACCTGCTCCTACTCTTTACTGACCTCCCCCCCAACCCTCCCGCCCCTTGACCAGTGTAGCCGCTTATTACAGGCCAGGGTCCCCAGCGTGCTCTTGGTATGACTACCTGTAGGGGAAGGGAAGGAAGCAGG